AAGGCAAAAAAGATGTACTAACAAGCCATAACTGGGGCCTGTTATTCAGATCTTTATTACCCAGAGAAGACCCAGATAAAAGGTTTATTGTGCTATCTGGGGTTTTAAAAACTTCCGCAGGGTGGGTTCACATGTCATGCTAACAAATCCTGGCATTTGGCCATGGTGGGTGGGTTGTTGCCTGAACAGCCCATTGTCCTCTTGATATATTATTGAGCACACCATGGATTGGCCTTCCTTCTCCCTCCTCAACTGCAATTGCAAGCCCAATTTTTTATTTCCAATTTGTTATTCCAAAATAAAATTGGAAATTTCCAATTTTTTATTTGCTGCAGCTTTCCCCCTTTATTTTCTCTTGCCTTCAAACTGATAGCCATTTCAAAGGGTCCAGGAGCACACTAAAGGGGCTGTCACTGGTACGCTACAGTTTTTAAGAAATGCACCCCAAATGTGCACATTTTGTGTAATTTTATTTTGTTACATAGGACGTCTACCATGGTACAGGTGCAAAGATCCACAGGTCTGAGGATGGCCTTATCTGTTCAATGTCCTGGGAGATAAATGTACCTGCTATCAAAAGTGCAGCAGGTATCCCCTGGACATTACCCAGAATGGCTCCAAATAGGTAAGGCCACACCAATCCTATCTAAATCCTTCTTTTCAAAGAAACTTTTACCTTTGACAGCTGTCAAATGCAAGTGTTAGCAAAAAAAGGAGGGTGCACTTTTCCACCTTTCCAAGCACTTGCAGTCTCAAAAATGAGCAGCTAAGTTAGGAAAGCTGATGTCTATGGTGGGCAGGTGGGTGCAGGGCAGGGGAGAGAGAGAGAGAGAAAGAGAGAGACTGAAAGCCTTGAAGATCTCACAGCAAAGGATTAAAAATGTAGTCTACCTCCTTTGGCTCGTAGCTTTATTTTTTCTCTTGCCTTTTGACAGCTGTCACAATCTATTGTATCAAAGCCACGTTTTAAAAATACCCATTTGAAGCCTCTCTGAGTCTATGTCCAGAGCTGGTACCTGTTGCACTCAGGCCAAGCCTCCCATTTCCAAAATTGTGAAACTGTACACCTCTGCAGCTAAAAAAATAAAAATAAAAAACAAATTAAAATAATTAAAACATTTGTTTATTATTTAAGCTGATATAACAACAAAATCCCTGAAAAATGACTGAACGACTAAAAAAATTAAAAACAATTATGAAAAAAAACCGTGCACGTTAAAAAAGATGGTTAACCTGTGAAAACCACTCCATTGTGCTGCTTGGGCACTTTGAAGGAGCTGTCAGTTCAGACATGCTGTTCACAATCTCCAACAGGGAAAAAAAAAAGGCCAAAAAGGAAGAAAAGCTGTGGTAAGCAAAAAGGGGCTCACAACTGCAGCCTAGAGCAAAACAGGGAGTTTTTAAAGATGAGCCCACTGCTGCATTTGAGATTCCCGCTAAACGATGCTGTGGTGGGAAAGGAGTCCCTTGCAGGAGTACTAGGATGATACTGCTGCACAAGCTTGGTAAAAAAAATCCTCCGCTGATGGACTCTTATTGCCCAGTCTCACTCCTTCACCATGATACAAAATTATTTACAGCCGTACTAATTAGATGCCTAAATTCGACATTGTAAAATCTATTCAAATTAAATGGGCATTATGCCCAGCAGGGATATGGGGACATCCATTCAAGATATCTAACTCTTAAACATTACACTCACACTAAAACAGTATCTCCTTATAATGATGCCTTTGACCAATTTGAAGTTTCTTAACTCTGAATTATTAAATTAATTTGGCTGTGAGAAGTGCTTGCTGATGGGGGTGGGACAACTTTAGAAGGCAACTGAGGCTCTGATATACCCAAATGGGCTAGATTCTTCCCTGCTCTCATTGCACAGAAGTACCAAACAGGGATGTCCTCCTGCTGTTTTGTTTGTTTTAGCAATAGAATTGCTAACCCGTATGATCAAGTCAGACCCTAGGGAAGAAAAGGAGTTAGAATTCATGTCTAGGAGCACCTCATATATTTATCTTCAAATGTTGCAGTATTTACAGATTTACAAATTTACAGATACTATTTTCTTTTCAGAAATATTCTGGGCTTCAAATAAATTACAGTAAACCGATACTGATATGCACAGTTTCAGGTGAATCTTCAGCACTACTGTTTGAGATACCAGGATATATTAATCCCTAAAGGCCTTCATCAGTTGGTTAGTAGGAACTCTGACCCAGAAATTAAAGTCATTAGGGAGGAGCCGCACAAATTCAAAACTCTCACTGTTCAACAGGATAGTCTGATTTAAAATTATGCTCCTGCCCAAACTTTCATTCTTATTCCAAATTATCCCAAAATTATCCTCAGATGTTAAAATACAGAAATAGCAACTGTAGATTGAGATGTTTGTTAATAATAGGAAATGGAGTAGAGTGATTAAGAGATGATCTACAGGCACCTGAAAAATCTGGCTCATCTGGAACTAATGTTAACTTATATCACTGTTCTCCAGATTCAGTAGCTCAGTCTTAATATCCAAAAGGACAACTCTAACCCATGTTTCCATGGTTTCCAGTAATGGAAACCCCATGAAACATCCCTCAGCATTAGGCACTCCTATTTATCAAACAATTGAATAATTTAATAATCAAAATTGGAAATCAAAATGCTTCATATTCATAGTCATGCATGATCATGTTATAATCTCTGCAAGAATGATAATGAATTAGCTTAACTCTTTAAGATACTGATTTGAAAGAATGTTCTAAACTGTTTTAAGAATTATTTATTTGTTTTTTACAATACAGTATACACACATACATACAGATTCTCTCTCTTCAGTATGTTATTACTTTATTATTACTGTATTATCATTATGATAATGCTGTATGATGTATAAGATGTTTTGGTGAATATGGAAGTGTTTCTTAAGTGTTTCATATGCATAGAAAGGTAAAATATATACATATACTAAGACAAACATTTGGCTTACTTAAGTGATCCAACTTGCATACAAATTCAACTTAAGGACATTCTCAGAAACAGAACTCGTCTGTAACCCAGGGATCACCTTCATAGCGAGAAGGCTTCAGCTCTTTCTGGTGCACTTTGCTTTCCTTGGCAGGAAGCACAATAGCACTTCTCCTGCCTCTGCTCTGTTCCCACACATTTCCAGGGAGAATAATAGCACTGAGCTGGGGACCAATCATGTCAAGAAAATCATTTTTCTGAATTGCAGGTGGGAAAATCAGGGGTGGGGTTACAACTCAAAATTAAAGGGGCTGGTCTTGTTGCTAATGAGAAATAGACCTTGAATTGCAGTTCTCAAATACCTAATGGAACTAACACTGGTCATCCCCTCCCCTTAAACGATATTCGTGCAAATTAAATAAACTGCTATGAAAACAATCCATTTGTTTAGTCCTTCATAGTGCTCAAGTGGGATCTGCTGTTTTTGCTGAAGGTGGATGCCATCTGAACTAAAGCTTTCCCATTAACTGAGCCTGCATGCACTGGCTCTCCATCAGCTTTCACATAGATGAAATGGCTGGTTACCATCTCTACTGCCACCTCTTATTTGTTAAGAGAGCCCTCAGAAAGGCTGGTCAATATCAACCAACATCACACCGCATCAGAGTGGCCAATGAGCTGGCACAACCGCCAGTCCCACTGGGAACTCCTGCACTCCTGACAAGGGCTGTTATTTTCCAAGGGCATAATCATTATGGGCCTTTCTTGTGCTACTATTAGACCGCGGCTCTTGGCAACTGTCGAGTGCTACTATCTGAGTGTTCAAGTGAAGGTGCTTTCTCTTTTGAACAATCTGTGTTGAGCTCAGTGGTACAAACTTTGCAAGGCAACAGGAACTCTAATGCACACAAACCGATGAGGGTTCCCACCCAAACTCTCTCTAAGAGAGCTCGCCAGTCTCCATTCTGTGGAATCACACAGAAACCATGAAGAAGAGAGGAAGGTTGCTTGCTTACGGCAGTAGTTCTCCGAATGGCCCTCTATGCCCTGTGATGTGAGGCTCTTTTCTGACCTGCTCTTGGTCTAACACCCCTTTGTATATGCCATCGTGGCAGCCCATGGAGAAGTAGTGGCAAGGCAGGAGAGGGCACTTGGATGGCTGGTAGGCCTCCCAACAAAACAGTTTCCTCTTTTGTGCAGGAGCGGAACCCATGTGTGTGACGGCTTGTTTGTTTTAGGATTGTTTTAATGCAGCCTAGAGATGATACAAATAATTATCGAACTAAATACAGCTACAGCCAAGCACCTTGTCTTCCTTTTTACTTACCATTTCAGTGTCAGGTTCCCTTCCCACTACTTTCATTTAAAGGAACCAAAGGATAATCAGTGTTTCCTCCTCCATTCCACCATGAAGGTGGGGTGGGGTGGGGTGGGGGGGAGACAGTGAGACTGGCATGTGCTGATCACCTTTTAGCAGTCTGTTCATCCTGTTAGTCCTCAAGTCTCTGAGTGCAATTCATATTCTGTGGATGTCAGGCCTAACATTACCACTGATTCGCATGAGTTTGGATTGCATTCTCAGTTTTCTTTTTCTTTTTTTTAGAAAGGTTTCTGAATTAGTAGAAAATAATAATAAAACTTAACAGAAAATAAATGAAAAACTAAAAAATCATCAGTCATCAAAAACATCAGACCCACTGGGTCAGCCCCCCATATTTTTTCTTTTTATGGTAATCCATAAACATATTTAAATCTATGCATAGTCCTGTTTCTCTAGCCAATAGTAAAAGGAATTCCAAGTTTGATAGAAGTCTGTATCTTCTTTCTCCTTCAGAGACAAAGTCAATCTGTCCATTTCGGCACAGTCTAATATCTTTTTTAAAATCAGTTCGTCACATTCTCAGTTTTCTTAATGGCCACCAGTTTAGACCTTAAGCTTGAAAATATACTGTGTTGAAATGCTATTATAGAATAGGTGGTGCATTTCCAAGTGAATCACAAATGTTTTTAACACCTTACTTCCAGAACAAAACACCCCTACCTAGAAATCAGTACAGCCTTCTCTGAAGTTTCTTTGGAACCGGCCCATTCCTGAATGCAGAGACCAAACTTTCTTGCATTTGCTCTTCAGGTGAAAAAATGCTCGTTAGCAAGACAGGATCCTTCTTGTACTCAACTTCATAGAAAGGGCAGGTCTTTAAGTGAACAGCCATGGAAGGAATGTCATTGAACTGCCAGTTATTAATGGTGGAGAACAGGCTGCTAAATTTCCAAATCTATAAAAAGTATAAACAAGAGACATAGAAAGAAAATGTCAAAACTGTACATGAGGATCTTGCAAAAACTTTGTCTGAATATAAAATTGTAGGTATGTGTACCAAGCAGCAAATCCCCCGAAGTTCAGTGGGACAAGGTTCCAGATAAAAATGCACGGAAACGCAGGCAAAGAGCCAACAAAGGGGAAAAAGGAGGGAATTACTAAAGGATTCAATAGTACTTTGACAGGATGTTTCACTTTAGTCATGGGATCATAACTGTTTTGCTGATTTCCTAACTGCACTGTACGTTCTGTTTTTGAAGTGACTCTTTAGTAGCTAGAGCCGTTTCAACCATTACGCAGGCCAGCTTCTCGCCTCTGAATGCAGAAGCTCGCGTGCGTCCGGACAATGCACAGCAGGAGGCGCGGCAGTGGCTTTCTGTGCTGCTGCCATGCCTCTCGCCATGCCTCTCCTCTTAGAAAGACATTTTGTGCTATATGGATGAAACGCAGGCGGGAAGAAGGCTGGGGCACCACTTGAATGAAGCTGTGGGCTCCAGCCTCGTCCCCTTTGTCCCCGCAGCAAAGCCCTTTTCCCCCTTGTTGCCTGGGAAGGGCGGCTGGCGCAGCTCTCTCCACACAGCTACAGGAGGAGAGGGGCAGGGGCTCAGGCTTTTGAACCCCACCACTGAGGTCACAGGAACTTGTAGCTTGGACTCTGAATAATTATATTACCCCAGACAATGCTAGGAGGCCACAGGATTGTGACCTTACGGTGTTATCTTGTCTAACTTAAACTGGCCTTTTCCAATTGATTTTAAAAAATCAATATATTGCTTTTAAAAAATCAATTGATATATATTGAGTTTCAAGGTGTTTGCCTCTCTGTCTATAAATTATCGTGTGAATTTTAGACAATCCTTTGTAATTCTTAGTGTTTGAGATTTTCTGGACTAAATTAAGTTGCATATATTCAGATTACTTGAGAAAGAGGTATTTCCTAGCTAAAATCTCGCAAGATTTATTCATATTCTGTGTGCATGCACATACCCTTCTCATTAAATGGACTGAAACCTCAGTTACAGGTTTCTGTGGAAGGGAATATTCTTTACCCATCTAATTAATATGCATGTTTAATAAAGGGAATGGACAGAGTGAGAAAGAAAATGAAGATTTCATTAAACAACTATTATAATATTTAGCAGGAAAACTTTTTTCAGACATTATTTTTAAAAGAAATGCTTAGGGCTCAATGCCCAACATTTAATAGTTAGCAATATTTAATTTAGTATTAGAACAGTTGGTGAAGATTTTAGGATTTCTAGAAATTAGGACCCAAGAAATGTCACACAAAATGTATGCTAGAATCCCAGAAACTACCAAAATAAAGTATATGAAATAAAATGAGGAGCCACCTTTGCTAGCAGCTCTCTTGGCCTGATCCAGGGACCAAAAGCAGCAAAACAACGTAATCCAGACAGTGCTGTTGTGCTTGTTAATGATGGGGAGGGAAAGCAAGTTCAATAGGGATTAAGTCTCACTATGTTGAATGGTACTTCCTCCCTTTGTTGTTCTGTAAGTTTGCATGGGTTGTTATATAGTCTACAATACATTCCCTCTTCCTTGCCACATTGCTTGCAATTAATATGTAAATGTGTAAGGTGCCATACAGGTCTTTGCTGATCACAGGCACTCTATCCTCCCCAAACACAATTTGGGACATTACACAGTTCTGTCCTGTAAGCAAGCAAAAGGTTAATTAGCTTACCTTCTACGAAATTAAAAATTATAGTAATTATTTCTAATTATATACATATATTTGCATATATAAATTAGTATACAAATATTTGGACAATTTTTGTCCTATTGACCTGAGTTTTTTCCAATATCTAGTACTGCTGATGTTTCATAGTATTGTTGTTAGGCTTCTGGATTTCAGTCTCTCCCCATGGTCTTTAGAAATTACATCTCCATCTGAACAGTAGATGCAGACTTTTTCTAGTGCAAATGTATACAGATGCCTGTGTGTAAACACAGACTTCACAGGCTGCTGAGACTCATATTGAACTGTGGATAACCTACTGCATAATTATGACAAGCACATTCATTAGTCCTTAGAGGTTCCAGAGGGGGAGATACTGAGATGGTGGAGCCTGAAGTTAGGAGTTGAGCCTAGTATTATGTAACAGATAGAGGGCATCACCTCATGCAAAGCCAGGCTGTGGCTGGTGCCTCACCTGTGGAGCCCAAGAGTCACAGAGTGAATCCATGAGCATGAAAGCATCAAAGCTAAGGGAAGTAACTGGCTCCTTTAGCTTCTAGTCGCTTGCTCTGAAGCCTTATTTTAAAACCCTGAAAGATCTGGTTAGAACCTGATACATTGCATCCCCTAGTCTTTGCACTGTTTAGGTCAGTGGGGAAAAAAGCATAACTAAAGTGCTAGAAAGGACAAGCTGCTTACCTATAACAACAGCTCTTTGACTAGTCATCTGTGTTTTCACATATATAGACTCTGCACCTACAAGGAGCATTGTTACAGGAAATTTCTATAGCTGAGGAATTTTTTATGTGGGATCCTTCCCATGCCATCCCAGTATGCAGGTTCCTACCTAACCCGTCAGTTCCCTGAGACCACCTGTTGTGGCCTCAGAACTTACAGCCAATATCAAAGGGACATAGACACCGATACCAAACACAATTTATCAACATCAAAACTGACAAGGAGGGGCAGTGGGTGGTTCTCTGAAGGCACAGAGGACCACTCAGGTAAGCAAGCGATCCTTCTTCATGGTCTCTGTGCGTCATACGTGGGTGAATAGCAAGCTGACTTCTCAGAGGTGGGCCAGTGTCCTCACTGTAGAACAGAAGATAGTATAGCCTGACCAAAACAGCAGTCAGATCTGGCCCAAACTTCCAGCTGATAATGCTGATTACACACGAATGTTTGTGACCAGGTTGCCACATGACAAAGATCTGGCAATGTCACACATCGATCAACTGTTACAGTAACAGTGACTCCTATACTATCATTATATGGGTGCTCAAATGCTGAGAGGCATCAGTCATGAGGACTTTTGATGGAGGTGGCCGTGAGCACAGGTATTTACAACATGTCCTTCCTCCTCACAGAATGAGCCAAGACAGTGGCTGTCAGTCAGAGAACGCTTACTGCCACATAAAACACACTTGCAAAAGGGCTTCTTCAAGGTCATACAACCTGGGGCAATATGGTGATCATAAAGATCTCAAACCACAAAATATAACCTTGTTTTTGTGCAAAATATAAAACACAAAAGGAAACATGAAAGACAGAAAATAACGATTGTCAGAAGGGAGAGGAGGAATAAAACATCATATGCTAGCAAAGTTATGCTCAAAATCCTACAAGCTAGACTCCAGCAGTATGTGGACTGAGAACTACCAGAAGTACAGGCAGGGTTTTGAAGAGGCAGAGGAACTAGAGATCTAATTGCCAACATACGCTGGATCATGGAGAAAGCAGGGAGTTCCAGAAAAACATCTATTTCTGCTTCATTGACTATGCCAGGGGTTGGCAACCCATGGCTCCGGAGCCACACGTGGCTCTTGAACCCCTCTGTTGTGGCTCCATCGCTCAAAACACGCGCCTGCACAGCCACTGATCTGATCTGCTCGAAGCTCCACTCAGGAACACAGTGCTAGCTAGTTAAGTAAATTGCTACATTCCTCTGCTAAACAAGAGCTTTCTGCAGGCTCTCATGTTACATGAACATGCTGAAAGGATGCTCTTTGTCCCAAAGTAATCTCCTTCATCTGAATGTTAAAAGCTGCGCTTGGGACCTGTCACAATTCACAGCACTTGACTGTTTATCTGCTAATCAGTCACTAAACACACCTATATCTCTGGCACAGATCTGTGATCCTCGCTGATTTACTGAGCTTCCACCCCACCCCCCCACCCCAACCCCTCCATAGGCCAACCATGGATAAATCAAAGAAAAGTTTCTGAAGAAAACCAAACGTTTAATGATACGTGGATAGATTCATTTGCTTTTACTGCTGACGAACTTATGGGGTTTGCTGTTTAATGCATGCAGCCCTTTAGCACTGACTTTGACTCTTCAGGAAGCTGTTCTCCTATTCAAAATATGTGAAAGGAGTCCTACTAGTTTATAATGTAAGATTAAAAATAACAGTTTTTAGTGATTGAACAAGAGTTGCAGCTAAATCATAATGAAGATATACATAGCATTAAGGTAACAAACAATATATGCAGTGTTATCTTCATTTTAGATGTCAAAAGGGTTTTGTGACTCCTGGTGTTTTCTTTTGTGTGGGAAATGAGTCCAAATGGCTCTTTGAGTGTTAAAGGTTGCTGACCCCTGGACTATGCTAAAGCCTTTGATTGTGTGGATCACAACAAATTGTGGCAAGCTCTTAAAGAGATGGGAGTACCAGACCATCTTATTTGTCTCTTGAGAAACCTGTATGCAGGTCAAGAACCAACAATGAGAACTGGACATGAAACTACTGATTGGTTCAAAATTGGGAAAGGAGTACGGCAAGGCTGTATATTGTCCCCTTGCCTATTTAACTTATATGCAGAGCACATCATGCGAAAGGAGGGGCTAGATGAATCACAAGTTGGAATTAAGTTAAACAACCTCAGATATGCAGATGATACCACTCTAATGGCAGAAAGTGAAGAGGAACTAAAAGCCTCTTGATGCAGGTGAAGGAGGAGAACACAAAAGTTGGCTTGAAACTCAACATTAAGAAAACTAAGATCATGGGATCTGGTCCTATCACTTTCTGACAAATAGACGGGGACGAAATGGAGGTAGTGACAGATTTTATCTTCTTGGGCTCCAAGATCACAGATGGTGACTGCAGCCAAGAAATTAAAAGATGCTTGCTCCTGGGGAGGAAAGCTATGGCAAATCTAGACAGCATACTAAAAAGCAGTGACATCACTCTGCCAACAAAAGTGTGTATAGTCAAGGCTATGGTTTTCCCAGTTGCAATGTATGGCTGTGAAAGTTGGACCATAAGGAAGGCTGAGCGCTGAAGAACTGAGGCCTTTGAATTGTGGTGCTGGAGGAGACTCCTGCGAGTCCCTTGGACAGCAAGGAGATCAAGCCAGTCAGTCCTAGAGGAGATCAACCCTGACTGCTCTTTAGAAGGCCAGATACTGAAGATGAAACTCAAATACTTTGGCCACCTAATGAGAAGGAAGGACTCACTGGGGAAGACTCTCATGCTGGAAACAATTGACGGCAAAAGAAGTGGATGGCAGAGGACGAGGTGGCTAGATGGACTCACTGAAGCAGTCAGTGTGAGCACAGGTTGACTGTGGGGGATGGTGGAGGTCAGGAGAGCCTGGAGGAATATCCATGGGGTTGCGATGGGTCGGACACGACCGCAACTAGCAATAATCCAGTGACATCTACAATGGCAGTCAAAGCGAAATCAAGGGACTGGGCAGGAAGCTGCTAAGGACATATAAACTGGGATGGTGTGGGAGGGTTGCCACCTAAAAATTCCTGAGATATATATGTATATTTCCCTGAAATGCTGCTCTGTGGAGCCCCTACAGGCATGGAGCCCATACATGTGATATACAAAGACTACAAAGAATTTATAATGCCAGAACTCAAGAACTAGAGGTGAATATTTCAGTACATTTATTTGGATGATCCCACCATATCCTCCAGTGTCCCCAGCACTTGCCTTTTTACGGACTCTCCAAGAAGTTTTCCCATGAGAATATCTCTTTTTTTCCCACAGCAGAAAAACCATTCCTCTTTCTTGCAGCAGAGTAGCACAAACATCTCTCATCTGCACTGATACCTGGGCCAGCTGAGAAAGGCTGAAGCTATCCAAAAACCCAGCAATATACTTCAGAATCTCCAAGGGAAGGCTACTCAGAGCATCCATTTCTTTCCCACGGTTATTTCTGAACAAGCTGCCTTTCCTTGCTTCTGCAAGCATGGAATCTACCTCTGGCTTAACAGCAAATGTCTTAAGATGCTTGTTGTAGATAACACTTGACTTCTGCCCCGAAGGGCGCCAGGGATATTGAACAAAAGTACATCCCAGATAGGCAAGTGGACAACGATGCTGGAACCATCCGTTCAAGCAGGACTGGATGTCAGTGTGAACATTCTTGAAATGGGAAGGAAATTCATTTCTCCTGAAGAAGTGGTTGCAGGAGAATGTGAAAACAGAGCTGTTTTTGTTATGCCTTTGGGTTACACTCTCACTCTGAAGCTGTAAATGAAGGTCTGGTGGGCCCTTAACATCTAAAATGTCTGCTAGAACAGCTGTGGAGGAGAAAGGCTCCGAGTCGAAACTGTATGTTTGGGTCCCAAAATCCACATACAAAGCATCAGTAGTATTTGTCTGAGATATCTGATGCCCTTTCAGTTCCTTCTCCAGGGCACACAGCAGTGTAGCTTTTATTGCATTGGATTTAGGAAGATCCTCCAGACTTATTCCCAACTCTGAAGTATCCAGAGATATGCTCTTACTTGGCTTCTTGTGTGCCACAGCATCCCCAAGACGTGCTCTTTTGCCACAGTAGCTGGATGGAACTTTGAAGGTAGTCTCAGTCTTCACTTCATGAATCTCCAAGTTTCCATATACAAAGTCTTTCTCTCTGGGAGTACAAGCAGCTATCTGACCAAAATGAATGAGCATCCTTCCATGGTGCACCAGGTACATATTATACTCCCCTACAGGAACCTCCTTTTTCAGCCTCTCCAATACACCATCTTGCCAAGGAGCCAGGCCTGTCCTTTCAGCTGCTAAGTTCACTTGAGGAGGAGCCTGGGTTTCTTCACTATCTCCTGTGGCTCTAGCTTCTTCCATGCTACCACTAGAACTCTGCCCTGTTTTAGAAGACCTGCTCTCACTTTTCTTTTTCTTACTATCCTCCACTAGGCCTGTTATTTTGCAGGCTTTAAATTCTTTGCTGAACATGTTTTCCCAGGTTTTGTAACCAGCCAGATCCATACATTCTTTGTCTTTTGCCAGATTCTCAAGCTCTTGCTGGCTGAGCCCATCATTTCCTTCACACAGGCTGGCTCCTTTCCCGGCAGCTTCTTCTCCCAGGTACTCCATGTCATCAACGGCTTCTTCCCCAGCACAAGGCTTTCTGCACTCAGGAAAAAATTCCACCATTCTGAGTGCCCCAAAGAGAGCTTTCTGATCTCTCAGGGCTAGAGCCACATCCAGGCACTCTTCACTAGGCTCCTCTTTCATCATGTTCTCATGCAGAATGGCTTCTGTATCTACACATGGCCAACGATTCCACTCCATAGAGCAGCTAACTATACTGGCCGGGCAGACTTGTAGATGTTTGGCCACTTTAAAACGGGCCATGGTAAAAGGGCAGCCATAACCTGAGTTAAGGCATGGGACTTGTGCTAAGGGACACAGGAGTTCATGCTCATCCTTTTTACACATGTGAAAGGTCGCACCACAGTGAGACTGGCAGCTGATCATCAAACAAGAGATGGTGGGCTCAACTGGAACTTGGCAGTATTTGTTGAAACACTTCTCACAGTGCTTGTGCGATCCAGCAGGAGACCGTTGCTTCCCACCCTATCAAAGAGACAGCAGGAAAAATAGAAAGCAGATCTTCAAAAAACCTTGGAAAAACTATGGCATCATTTTACACAGCTGCTCTGCACATTCCCAGCCATTTTCAAAAATATTTATGTACAAACTGTATGTGCCAATTGGTTTAGAGAACTTGGAGCAGCCAAATTTTTAAAACTTTAGATGAAAATTGAAGTAACAATCCAAGTAAAACTACCAGTGACAACGCGTGTTGCCAGGCCTGGGCCCACAAGGGCTAAATCTTGTGGCCGAAATATTGTATACCACCCAGAGAACTTTGGATGTGGGGTGGAAAACCAACCAACCAACCAACCAACCTCATTTCCAGTGCCCTGATTGTCTACCACTCTGCCCACCAAGTGCTGTGCTACTCAAGCACCATGCCCACTTTTTTGTTTAACTGTGTTAAAAATTCAGCCATGAGAGAAGGACTGCTGAAGCCACTGCACCGCCAGGTATTCCATGGTCTGAAAGGGCAGCAGTTGCTCAAAAACTAGAACTTTATAATTGCCTTCCTAAGTCTTGCCCAAATTGTCATGACATTTCACTAAGGGTTCCTCCAGATAAGGTTTTAAAGCACCATGCTCAAGCAAAATGGCCACTTTCCTTCTTTGCTGGCTTGTTGGGGATGCCCAAATGACATTATCAGTCTCCTGTACTTGTCCCATGTCATCCCGTGTTTTCCGCCTGCTTCTGCCATACTTTTCCACACCAGGGAAAATCTGTTAATTATTTTCTGGTGCAGCATGATCCACAAAAAGAGTTTTTTCTATTTCTCTGCCTTTCTTTATATTCCATTAACCAAGCACAACACACTGCTGTGGTACAGCTGCGCTGCGGCAGATTTGTGACATCTCATGAGGTTTTTTTTCCCAGTTTCAAATGTTATACCTGACTGAGCTTGCTCTAAGAAAACCAACAAGAATAGCAAGAAAGGACAGTGAAAACAGTTGGAAAACATGGGGGATGAAAAGGCCCTGCAGTCCTCTGTGAATGAGGCATCACAGATGCTCAATAGAGTCTTGCACAGAGACGCCTCTAGTACTGCAGCTGTAGGTGTGTAGCTGTGGTGTATAATGTAAATGCACCGGGCGGACGTGTGCTCATGACTTTAGGCCATCCGGAAGCTGCATCTCACCCTTACCCACAGACAATTGCACCCTCTCCTGCTACTGCTGTGGCGGCGGCGGCAGCAGCGGCACTGGCAGTAGCAGCATGGCTTTGGGAGTGGGTGGGTGACATGGGGGAGGAGTTGGCTGGTTGCAACCAAGAATGGGAGAAGAAAATGGGCTGCAGGGAGAGCACAAGCTTACATGGAAGTAAAACACAAGCCTCCCGGACATGACTTTTAAGCAAGAAATCGAGGTAAAGAAAGTTGCTGCAGTGGAACTGCAGAATTTTGGAGGAACAAATAAAACATTTGCATGAACAGTATGTTGAAAGGGAGCAATGAAGGGAGGGGATGGCTCTGGCTAAATCTTGTCATTTTCTTCCCAGTGTTTTTGGACAGAACACAGAGGCACGTAGCAGCAATTTCTCCTGACAGTGTGGGAAGTTCCATGACAGTTCCATTTGTAGTTTACAGCTGATAAGTAAGTGATCCCATCCATGCAAGTGATTGAGGCACTGCAGGCCTCAATCTGGAACAGTCCTGAGTGTTGTGAAACTCCCAGGGATTTAATCAAACCTTGCAAGATTTCACCTTAGTCCTGCCTCCCTGCACTGCCTTACACTTAGGAAAAAGCCTCCCATTAGTGCTAACAGAAGCCTCTTTTTTGCAAAGGGTGCTTCCAGGTGGAGGGCTCCAATGAGGAGACACTGAACAGCTTTTCTTTCTTAACACAATATTGTCATAAGAGAAGTGCCAGAAGCAGCACTGGAAAAACATGACTTGAAGGCCATAATGTCTGCCCGCCACCCCCCACCCCCCACACACACCTTTCAGGTAAAATTCTGTGAATGAGGAAGGCAACAGTAGCATAAAAGCCTCATCTGGAAGCACACTAAACCATGTGGGGTGATATTCTGCAGGATAAGAAAGTTAAGTGGAGGAGGAAAAGGAAAACAGGGTGTATTGCCCTCATAAAAGGTTAAATAATCTTGCAGGGCAGGCCTTTCCCAGGAACCACTACTTGCACAGATGATATTATGACAAACAAGAGAGCCTCTTCAGTAGTATCTACCAATGGGATACTCGCCCTTATGTGCAGGATTTTTTTTTTCATGGGGGAGCATTATATTGTATCAGCTGCAGGCTGCAGTCTGATGCAGCTTAGACATAGGTTCAACATTTCAATGAGAAAAATCCAGAGAAAGGGTCAAACCTCTAGGTCAATTACTGGCATTCTGTAATAATTGCATTAAGCTGGAAAAATCAAGCTGGTATCTCTTTCAGAAGCTACCTACCATAGTTTCTGCTGATCACCTTTGACGTCTCTGAAAGAAAAATTAAAAGATTTAAGAAGTGTATCAGGAAGTTCAGAAGCACAACTGTGATGCGGTATCCAATTTGTACATATATCTGTGAGCTCAGCAGTGCCGTTCCATTCCAAAGCTCATGAAAAGAGCAGAAGCAACATAGTGCAGGAATGCCCCAGCCACAGGAAGAACATCTTACCTATGCTGTTCTTCCCCATCAAAGCAATCTAAAGTGTATACGGATGCCTGCGTCTAATCTGTGCTAAAACATTTCTTAGCATTTCAGGGGACTGAAGTAAGGTATTCTGGGGTAAGCACCCTCACTTGAGGTTGCTAGATTATCTCTACAATTATTTCAAAAGGTATGGAATCTTTTCTTTTAGTATGTCTCAGTCAATATGGCTCAGGTCAGATGTTCTGTTAAAGCACAGGTTTCATCTTCCTTGAGTCAGTAACTAATGAGGATAGCAGTGCTTTCTGGGTGGCATGCACAGAGGAAAAGATGGATAGACAGATGGATGGACGCACAGATAGACAAGTATATACTAGGTGTATACATTCATATACACCTTGCCTTTCAGTTTCTAAACTCCACAAGGGCAGCTCACACAATCAGAAATATAAAAATATTGTAAGCAGCACAATCTTGTTGTCTCCTAAATGGCATCCTTTGGATTCCCAGATCTGAGGCTAGAAAAAGTGCTCTGACCTCAGAGCTGGGGGTCTGCACTTAGGTCTGATAAGAGGAGCACTAGAAAGGGAGTAAAGAGAGTGTTCCAAGGAGGAGGGAGAAGAGGACACTGGGTCCAACAGGGTATCATATCCCCAGATGATTCTCCAGCCTGCCAGCCTGCCTGCCTGCCTTCCAGCCCCAATGGTTCTTCCCATCTGAAGCACCACAGCTAGTCAGCTGGAATCAGGCATCTAGCTGATTTGCAGGTTGGGAGGAACAGAGGGGTGGAAATCACCACATGCCCATCTGCATGGGATGACCATAATCTATCAAATTCAGAAGCTTACAGACATTCCAATGGGTTGCCCACGAAACAGTGAAAATATTAAATAAATTGAAGCAATGCTAAAATATGGGATTTTAAAAACACAGGTCATCAAATTCCTTAACTTGCACCCTAGAACCAGTTTTCCATGCTAGCTTTTGCTCCTCTGCTTCCCCTATTGTAAGAATGTTTACCTTTGTGTAAAGTTGTGAAGCTGTACCCTTTGGTTAAGTTAGGGGTCCTTTTGGGATTGCATAGAGGGTATCCTTTCCCTTTCTATTCCCAGAAATTTCATCACAATTGTTATCTGATTGTAAAATTTCCTCTAGGGCCACTCTTGGCCCATTTCCCACAGGAGTGTGATCTATCATTCCCTTCCACTCCCCACGCCTCTCTGCCTCCTACCGTTGGCTTCCCTTCCCCAGGCAGGTATGACTGGGTGTGCACACACAGGCTCTCCAGTTCCAGGGGCTCCTGCCAGCACCAGGTTATTTGGAGAAAGAAATGGCAGGTCACTGCAGTCAGAAGTTGCACAGGAAGAGATGAGGACACAGACAAATTGGCTCAATAGGCCGAAGCTCCCACCCTTTGCTATTGCCACTGACAAAGGAGGAAACTTCATGCTTTCATGGGGTCCCCAGGGACACCTGTGGCAGTACTAAAGAGGGAAGGAGGGGGCTTATCATGTTGTGCAAATCCTCAAATATGTGAAGTGCTTTGAATACTCTGAAATGCGACAAAAATGCTAAATACATATAATCATCATTACATTAATGCTAGCGGTTGCAGGCAACCCAAAATTTATTATGCCTTTCTATGCTTGTAAATTTAAAATGAGGGATAGAACTGTAATATACTGACATTGATTATCAATTATATTTATTGTTTACATTGCTTAATAGTGTTATCTGTAGGATTATTTATGGTTGTATATATTTTTGGAGGAATCACCATTTAAACAAATACATACAAAAAATCCAAAAAGAGTATTTCTGGTATCTCCTCATCATTCCATTCTCTGTCCTGAGTTTTTAAGCTTCTTCTCTAACATATTTATTTGTAAGTTGCAGCACTGGAATGAATATACCATAAAACCGATCAAGGGTGACAATTCCTCAGGAGACAGCTTATACTTTCAGGAAGGCAAGATTTTCCTTCTTCAGAACTGTTAACATAATTTGCTTTTACATGACCTACAGGAACAACAGTTTGTCTGTCATAGCCAGACTAGCTCTGATTCTTGGGAATATGTTGATGCATATAATCTCTAAAAATAGACTCAGGGATGACTTGCAGAATGCCGGAACAGTTACGCAGCACCAAAACTATTCATGTACCACAAGCATATGAGGATTACAACAGGGATTGGCATAAGCGACAAATAACCCAAATAAGGTGGAAATGTTGGACAGTCTTTCCATGAATGTCTGACATTTGGCAGTCCTTCATTTTTCAAAAGCTATTCTTTATAACATGACTACAATTGGGAACACTACTGCAGCTGAAAACATCAAAGTTAGTGATTTAAAAATTGTATAAAAAGCAACATAAATCCAGAACTTATTTAGGCCAGGATTAAGAAAAAAGTTTCCATTAATACAAATGATAGAGTGGCCATTTGAATGCATTAACTCCTTTCAAGTTCCATAAGGATACACAGGCTTCCAGAACGATTCCAGGAATTCATTAAAGCCAATTTGATTGGCTGCTTACCCAGTGATCTTTGAGGCAAATGGCAAAAACCCTATTTTCCCTTTTCATTTTATTATAGTAACTTGTATAGGTCAGAGAGGGTTTTGTTTTAACTGTCAGAAAAATTCCAAACTTCATCTTCATGGGCTGGTCCCTTGCCTCTGGTTCCAAAACTCAAGACAATCCTTTGAGACGCAGGGGTTGTTGTTTTTTAATTTAGACTCGACAGATAACAGAACAGTTTGCACTCTAAACAGTCTTCTATCAAAGCTGAAAAGGGAAGCTTCAGCTCATGTAAAGAAGAGTTGAATCTAAAACTGGAGACTTTCCCACAATCCATTCCTCCCTTTCAGTAAAACTTCTGGCTCCATCCTCAGGGTGGCTCTTCCTAGTGGAAAGCAAGACTGCCCAAATGCAGAAGCCCCTTCAAGTGAGCAGCCCGTTTCTCCTCACTGGGTCTCACACCTCCTTCCCCTACCCTCCTGAAAGCACTTCCTCCCATTCCAAAACAGGCTGATTCTCATGCTCAGCCTGAGAAACTTCATCAAGCACAGTGAAGGAGTTTCAGTAGCTTCACACCTCCTCCCCATTCCTCTTCCTCCTCGTCAGAATCCTCCAAGGATTCACACCGAACAGTCTGCAATCTGCGAGCGACTGGCCCACTCCCTACATTTACGCTGTCTGCAAATCTAGACTTGGTTTCAAGAGAGGTTTTAGACAAGGAATTTGCAGGTCAGCTCTGCTGGCTTTGATTTATTGTGAGACTTGGGAAATCCTTGATTTAGCCATTCTACTGAAGAACCCTACAATGGAGGATAAGAACGGTACAACACTAGAAGCTGAGATTTTCTTCTTTGAAAATTCATTCCCTCCAGCCACTTGATAATTCCACCCAAATTGGCTTCAATAGACTTGTATTATGTAGAAGAACATCCAAGATACCACATCTCCTCCCTTGTTAATATGACGGCTAGCTAATTTCTTCTTGTGTTCCACTGGCAAAAGGACCCTGTATACCTCGAGGTGGATGGAAAACACTTCTGAGAACAGCTGGACTTTACATTCCACAAAAAGGAAAATTCAACATCCTCCCCACCCCACCATTCTTCCCAGTACAGCAATGGGCAGCAGAACCCCCCTATGACTGTCATATGACCTGCTGGCCTCCACACTACACTGTGGAATTTGTCTGAACTCAAAGACAATATGAGTTTACCATCCAGTCATCTCCCTCTCCCAGTCCTTTCCCCACCTGCCTTTTATAACATTTTGTCCGATTATGAGATCTGGGGAAGTAAGAAGGTTGCACAAGGTTGTTACTTTGGTGACCTTTTGGTTGGCCTGATTAGGTATTTCTACAACATGGATTTTGGAATTTGGTTGAGAGTGTGATGGGTCACCAGTTGCTAGCTGACATGAGTGTAAAGCTGTATCTCTAAGCATTGAAGAAGAGAAAGTATCTATATGAGTCTGAGCAGAGCAACCATTTTTGTTCTAGGGGCCGGACTGTCTCCTTAGACCAAGTGAGATGACATCAAGAAGGCCCTAGCCTGAAGCCCTGCCACCTCATAAGACATTGCCTGGCCTAACCATTCACATTTTATTATCACTTTTCTCCATTTAGAACTCCATGCCTCTCTGTTCTTGGAAATAAAAACTCAGATAAACCTTGCAGAAATTGACTCCTATAAGTACCAGGAGAGTTTGATGCCTCCTTTCTGTGCTGCCCACATCCCAATGGGGAGGGAGCATTGGAGAGGAATCCCCATGGAAGTTTGCAGGGGCAGCAGAGTGTAAGTTTTAAAATATAATGAAATGACAGTATTTTGTAAACTGAACCATGCTGCTGAACCTGCTGTATTTTTACCAGCCAATACTTGTCCCAGTGGGTCCCCCCCCCCCGCACTACTTTCCCAGACGTCTGACATAATATGGGGATTCTCCCAACTGATTTGGCTAGGGCTTGCAGGTCTGGTCCTGCAAACCCATCATGTCCCTTTCCATACTGCGTGTGCTACAACTGAGATTTGAGCAGCAAAGGAAAGAGACTCCAGGCTCAGCTGAGGATTGCAGAATCCAGCTCCTCCAACATGGTCCAAGTTCCTTTCTATGTGTAAAGAGAGGTATGTGATTCTGTGCTTCTCTCTGCATAGAGAAAAAAATGCACTCATGATAATAAAAATGATAAAATAAATACAGATCAAAAGGATGATGATCGGGGCAGGACCTGAGGATTAGAAAGGAGATGGGGAGAGCAGGTGGCAGGGCCCGTAAAGGATGCCCCAACAGGCAGAAGGACTCGGCCCATGGACTGGAGGTTGCCATTTTCTGACTCAAGACTGAAAATATTTTATTGTCTGAAGCAGAACAGGAAAGGGTCCTTCTGCTCCTACTGGTTGGGCCCTGAGGTACCTTGAGGTATTCCACAAGGGCCACTCCCTGGAAATAATAGTCCAATAATACTATATTAATTATTAATAATTGCCTGCCATTCCATGACAGCTGCCTGAGGCAGCCATCTCATGCAGCCAGATGGGAGTATCTTGCCTGTTTCAGCAGAGTGCTGCAGAGTAGTGTTGATCATTCAGGGAGGTGTTTAAAAAAAAGAATAATTGCAAACCTTTTTTTATTGAGTATTGCTGCAGTTTTTAACATTTTAAAATAAAAATGCAGCATTCAATATATTTTCTTGCTCTGAGAGTTAAATACTAGTTTTTTAAAAACCTTGAAAAAAATAAAAGTTGCCACGATCATGTCTCACAAAATGCTCATCTCAGGTCATCACAACTGCTAAAATGTTTATGGGAAATGACTGGTGTTTTGAAAGTGTCCAGATTTGCAAAGTATTTGCAAAGAATATATTCTGGTACTTAGATGTATTTCCATCTGTTCTTCTGTCTGGTAAAATTCAATTTCCAAGCACCTTTAAAAAAATCTCAAAGCTACTCTCTTCTTTTTGGCTCTGCAAAAGGTTCTCTGTTAAGAGTCATTCTCATTGTTGCAAGACTTAAGATCTCAGCTAATTCATGGAGAGCCAGTGTGGTGTAGTGGTTAAAAGCATGGGACTCAGTCAATCTTGGTTCTAGTCCCTGCTCAGCCATGGAGCCAACTGGGTGATTCTGGGTGAGCCCCAAGCTCTCAGCCCAACCTACCTCACAAGACTGCTGTGGGCATAAGATTGAGAACAGCAGAAGGAAAATTATGTAATCCACTTTGTTTGCTGTAAGAAAAAAACCAAGATAAATAAAATAAGTTGCAACTGGACAGCCATCTGAAAGGGATGGTTCAACTGGGAGTCCTGCACTGAGAAGGCGGCTGGACCCAATGGCCTCTTCCAACTCTATTATTCTATGATAAATAAAAATAAATCTGCCATGGATGAGTATAGTTGAAACTGATTTAAGAGGGTTGAGCCCATCCAGGCTTACTTTCTGAAAACTTTTTCTGAGGTGGAAGAAGTGTGTGTATGATTCTAGAAGTGTGCGTAAGCTAGCTGTGGTTACATACTTATAAAGAAATGCACTAAGTACAAGCTCAGATAACCTTTATTTATTATTATTCAACATCCTGAAGGAGAGCTCTGTCACTAAAACAGATTATAGAACTTCAAATTAAGTACAGTTTTCTTGAAAAAAAGTAATATAGGCTGTTGACAAAGTAAATTATTCAGGATGCTACCAGACGAAGCTCTCATCTGTGTACAATCATCACACCTCATTCAGTGAATTTCATCAGTGGTCCAGACAGCATCATCTATAACTTTTAACTGCACGGTATCTTTTGACTGGTAGCACTAGAAGCCATCTGTCTGGAAGCATCACAGAGAAATATTGCAGTTCTGTACATAAGGCTGTGAAAACACCAGTAGAATTTCAGAAGGCAGCCTGTGTCCACAGAACTATAGTTCAAGTTGTTTATGCTTAACACCTGTTAGCTAACAAGTCTGAAATATATTCCTGACCAATTAGAACTGATAAAGGTATGTCAGGTTGAGATTTTAAAGTTCTTTAAACTTCAGTATATTCTGAAAAATCGGTTATAACAATTTTTCTTCCTTAATTGCATTGTGTCATTTTCAATTCTGATTTTGACATAATTTAGTAGTTATCTTTCTACTTCAATTACAAAACATTTTTAAAGCCTTACCGTCAATATACAATCTCTTTTCATCTACCCCAGCTAATTCCTTTCTTAGGTTTCTCCAGCTGAGTTGAAATGAGGTAGCTAGGAGATGGGTGGGAGCAGAATGGAAGAAATCTGAGGAGGCAGGAAAGGAAAACACTGAAATACATACAACTGGCATTGGCTGGTAAAAATAAAACCAGTGCACTCAGCAACATGGTTCAATTTATAGAACACTGTCCTTTCGTATTTATTTTAACTGTCTCTGTTAGAGTGATATTTAGCAGAGCTGAGAACAGCTGATTCATGTCTCAGTAAAGGACAATATTATTTGTAGAAAGTTTGCAATGTGATTGCCTTTCTTAATTATTGGATTTTTATCCCAACCTATAGCAAAAAATGGCTCTCTGGGCAGGTTAAAAATACAGTAGTATAATAAAACAATATACATCATAAAACATAATATAAATTAATCAGTAAAATCACAAATTGAATACAAAAAGCCACAATAACCATAGTTCACAATCCAATAAAAGACACAGTAGCATAAAATATAAACATCATAAAATCTTTTAAAATTATCTTAACTATTAAAATATTGGGTGAATAAAAAGGCACTGAAAAGAATAAAGAGAAGCTGCCAAGCGAACCTCTTTGAAAGGTGCCACCCTCCTTATTTCTTTCAGAGGGGGTTCTCTGAGAAGGATCTCTGAGGATAACCTTAGGTTGACACATTCGAGAAGAGGTGCTCCTTTAGATAACCTGGCTTCAAGCCATTCAAAGCTTTCAATATTAATACTAACACTTTGAATCAGGCCCAGATTTTAACTGGAAACCAGTGAAGCTGAGAGAAGACTGGCATTATATGCTCATCCTGGCCAGTTCTCATCAATAGCCTGGCAGCCTTGTTTTGGAACAACTGAAGTTTCTGGACTGTCTTCAAAGGGTGCCCAACATAGGGAACATTTCAACAGACCAAGTAAGTTATCAGAGAGTGAGATACTGTTGCAAGGTTCTGCCTTCTCTAGAAGTTTTGCAGCCTTCACAGTAGCTTCTCCTACATATTGCCCATATAGGTATTGTCCATCTTATTTCTGAGTCTGAATGCCACTCTGACTTTTTTCTACAGAATGTTTTCTGTACTGAATGTTTTTAAAAAGCAGATCATTTCCATTAACTGCAATGGCATTCCAACATTAGTAATGTAGAAGCTAAGAGTGGCATTATTAAAACAAAAATCCAAAGCATGTCTTGGAAACTAGGTGCAGGCTTGGCTATCCTTCTTTCCTCCCTCTTGTGGGCAGCTTCATTTTGTTATGAATCATAGTACACTATGCTATCTAAAATGACAAAATATGACTTACAGTTCCAATCCTTCCAATCAAAATCAGAAATCATGGTTCTTGTAGATTTATGGTTATAGATACCACTGTAACTGCAAGGTTTAGAGAAGTGCATAAAAACTAAGAATTTTATAGTCTCTATTTGACAAGAGCTGAACAGTAATAAGGACACTTCTGCTTCTATCAGAAACAACTAAGTCCATTTCTGTTCAGAGTGCTTTCACACAAGGTTATTATTGTGCAATTGCATCACTACAAAGAATTTTACTGGGAATCCAGATTACAGTATACTCAATTTATAGCTCTCACATTTTTTTCCACTGCTTCTTCCAACTATACAAAAACAAATCTCTTAAGAAAGTATGGAATGGTTGCCATAGTAAGCTGTTCTTAGTGCTCTGCCTGGAAGTACCCTTAGGATCCTATTCTGTACATGCATAAACAGAAAAATACCATTAACTCCCAGCATATCCTGGCTAGCATGTCTCCAGGACTCTGGCGTTGTAAGACTTCCTTCTATCTAGAAATGCATAGTGTGATTACATTATCCACACTTGTTTATTTCTCCCTGCCCTGCCCTGCCCCCGCCCATGAATGGCATAAAAGTGAAGACTGAATAGTCACTCCAATGTGGCTGGCTTGGTTCTCTTGGAATCCAGTGAGGGTTCTAAGTCTTTTCTGAAAGCAGACAAGCCACCCGAAATAGGAAGGACAATTTTGTGCTACTGGAAATTATAGCAGAATCCATTCCTTATAGTCCTATATAACGCTCTACTTGGTTTAGCTCACTTGGAATTTGGTTTCCCAGCCCATTTTCCCTAGAATATATGCATGGCTGGCCATTCCATTCTGTTCCCGATGAGTTCTGAGCATGATGGGGTTATTGCCATACCCATAGGGGTTCAGCTGTTTCCAAGCATCTCCAACACATCCCATTGCTTGGGGTCATGTTTATATATACACAAAACATAATTTTGAACAAAGGGCCCATTCCAGCTTTCACATGGCCCTTATGTGTTGCGGTACTGCGGGCTAGGACTAGCGCCGCTGCCCAGAAAGCCGATATGCCACAGGGCTGAGCCGCCGCCGCCTCTGCCACGCGCTAAACGGGACGCCGGCAAGAAGCAGCCGCGGCCCTTTTTTCCGCCCGCTCTCCGGCCAGCCCGTCGACTGCTTTCTTCGCCGAGAATCCCGCTCAGCTGCGTGCGCTCTCTGGGCAGCACAGTAACCCCATTCCCTTCCGCTCCATCAGGGTGGGAGCAGGCGGGCAGGCAAGCGAACGGAGGAAGCGGCACCATCCCTTCAACTAGTCGCCCTCTTCAGCAACGCCAGCAACCGCCGCCCTACATGTCCCAGCAGGAATTACTGCGGTGCAGGCACGGCGCTCCAACAGAAGCACGGGCGCGCTCTTAGGAGGACTTCCTGCTCTTGACACGACCATAGAGGCAAATAACGGCCTCTCTGGGCATAACCTGGATGGAGGACCGGAAGCTACGCAAAATGGGGGGGTTCGGGGGCGCGTGCGCATTGGGCTTTCGCAGCCGGCTTTGCCGTGCAAGGAGTGAGAGGCGCCCGTGCGCGCCTCGGGCCCGAGGAGGACTTTGACGTTGCGGGCCGGCTACGTAGCCGGCCGTACATGCAGGTACCGGGGCTGCGAGGACAACAGCGCACGGCGTTGTGTGCTGCGCCAGGGAGGCCGGATCCGCCCAGGGGATAGAGCGGCCGGGCGCCCTGGCCAGGCCTGTGGGAAGCTGCGATAGAAAGGGAGGGGTGTGCGTGCAGGGCCTTTTGCCTCGGCACGCCAGCGACTGAAGCGAGGGTCTGGAGCAGGGCGGCCGGGCGGGCCGGGGCGATTGGCGCGTGGACTGCACGGTAGGCATCGGCCAGGAGGCAACAGGCCGCGGGGGGTTGGCAGGCAGAGGTTGTGGGCGGGGCAGGGAAGGATCCGAGATCTTGCTGAGAGAGAGCGCTAGGGTCTGTTCCCTCCTTCGCCCCTTTGCACTTGGAACGAGGTGCAAGCTCTGCGGGGGAACGGGGGTCATTGGGAACCCGTGATGGTGCTGGATACAGACTTGGCCCACTGGCCCATCTGGTCCGGGTTTGTTTACTCTCGCTGCCAGGCATCTTCCTGGATGTAGAGCAAAGGTGCTTCCCATCATAGAACAGGAGAGTTGGAAGCAACCATCTTCTTCCTGCGATGCTTGCGATCCTCTTTCTGCAAAGTGTGTGCTCTCTCTGTGCGATAGTTAGTATTTGATTAACTGTTCACTTGATGTTTTTGGTATATTTGATGGACCTGGTTTCTAATAGTGTGTACATGCATTCTTTGCCTGGAACCCTGATCTAGTGTCAGGGTCTCAAAGTAGTTTTAAAACTCTGGAGTTTTCTCCCCCTCACCAGTCCCCCACACCTGCATCATAACCAATTAATGAAAATCATGGTTGTTGGTGCACCAAATAGTCATGGGAAACTTAAATAACCATAGAGCTTGTGACTTTAGGATTCTGAAGATCAGTTTCTGCGTATTTTAATTATTTTTGCATTGCCAATACTTGAAATAAAACCAATAGAAGCAATCTTTAATCTTTTACCTTAGTTCAGTGACTTTCCATGCTATTACACTCGATTCACTGCTGGGGAAATAATGTGGCCTCCGCCACTGTTCCTAGCCACATCTGGAATACCAGGGTGAGAAAGGCAGGAACAGAGTCGTGCTAGGATCACGTGTACGGATCACATTGTTGCGTACCATATCCCATATATGAGCACAGAAAGAGAGATGCCTCTGGAGCTGCCTTCCCCATCTTGGAACCCTGTGCTGGGAGTTGTAACCCAACAAACTGGGGGGCCACAAGGTCGAGGAAGGCTGTTGCAAAGGTGTCTTCTGTAAGTTGACGGCCTACTCTTTTCTCAGTCCTCTGAAATGTAGACCAAAGGTTGGCCTTTTTTATCTATTCTTCTGATCTTCCTGTCACTTCTGCTTAGTAGAGAAGGGAGGACAATCCAAAGTTAGAGCAGCTTGAGGAGGAGGACCACCTTTGCTAGGGTTGAAGACAGAGCTTGGAGGTGGGGAAGAAGGGAACCAGGAAGTGCAGTGTTCTAAACTGGTACAATGAAAAAAAAGGAACACCTTTTTAAAAGATCATGCTTAAGGATATTTATCTAGATTTCACAGTATCTACTTACATCGTTTATACTGAGCTTTTCTATATAAATATATTTAACATCAAATTATTTCCATGGGCGGTTCCTATCTTACGAGATTTACTGATAAAACAAAAGGAATATTCAAGTAAGCAACATTTTAAGACTGCTACTGCTGGACCACCTGTGTTTCAGAGTAGTAATTTTAGGTCCAGAAAATGGATATTTAACCTGGAAACATGGTACTACTCAGTTGCTAGGAGTAGTTTGAAAATGTCTAAGTTCCTTACTGACTAATATCCACAGAGCAAATGCAATCTCACCCTCAATCATTGGTGGAAAGTCCAAGAACTGTAAGCCAAAAAAAAGAAAGATTATTTTTAATTATGTATATTCCTCTTTTTTCCTTGCTTACAGGAAAGACTATAACATTAATTAAAACATGCATTAAGAAATAAAATCAGCAACAGAGGGAAAAAGACTTTTTAGAGATTTTAGCTGTGGCTTCTGGGCATTGCCTGGGAGCCATAGGATACTTTGGATTCCTAGATTCCAGGCCAGAAACTGATCTCTGACCTCATAGCTAGGTATTGCAGCAGATGCAGAAATTATGAAGTTGCCTCTCCAAGGTAGGGGATATGGCCTTCAACAGAGTGTTCTAGCTGAGGGGTGGGGGTGGGGGGGAGTCTAGACATGGTCAGGATTATTCTGTATCTTCTCAATCCTCCTCCTTCCCCCCCCCCGAATGAAAGATAGAAGGGGGAGATTTCCCCCACTCCTGCCCTGCATAAACCAACAAGTTTGAGGGCACAGAAGGTAGAACCCATAGGATTATACCTTTAGCCTTTCAAAAACTGCTCAGAACTCCTTGACTGTCAGACAATGAAAAAATGAAATAAATAGTGGTGGAAACAGGCAGTGTGGTTTCCCAAGGATCTTGTTGGAACCAGTGATCACAAAGTGTGGTGCCTATGATGAGTAGTAAGATAGACAAGTTGGTAGATACTGAAAACTCAAGCAGTCTGAAGAATCCAAGGATTCCCCAGGCTAAGGTGACTCTTATGCTATTTTCATGAACGCTGGGGCTAGGTGGTTAGGTTCACAATCCTCAAGGCAAACACATTTTGATTCTGTGCTCTTCTTTTCCGTCTTAAGAAATAAATGTGTTGTAAAACTGTCAAATGGTATTGTGACTATGACTTGAACAGCTAGGTACTGAGAAGCCACCACCATTGTAACTTTTAAATTTTATGGGCGTGAGATTTTTCAACAGCTGGACTGTAGTAGTAACAGGAGAACAATGTCCTTTCTTCTGTTTGGATCCAGCACTTGGGCCTAGATACAAGGTAGTGTAGATAGTGTCTAGATACAAGCTGGAAGGTGATGGCCTTTGGCTAAGCAATAAATATGTGAGACAAGTTAATAGGAGGACATGCTGCTAGGTAACCAGCTATTATCCTACCTAGAAGGCAGAACTGTCCTGAGTCTTCCATGTACTGGTTAACTGCAAATTACAGGGAAGCGCTCTATGTGGGCCTTCCTTTCAAGACTGTTCAGAAATTTCAAATGCAAAAGTGGCCGCTGTGATGCTGATCAGAGCATTTTACAGCAGTCATTCCAGGCTCAGTTTAAAGAGCTGGTGTTAACTTGTAAGATGCTAAATGATGTATTCTTAAGTACCACTTTTAACCATGTAACTTGCCAAAGGCCCTGCTTTCTAGCCCATCAGTAGCAATTAGGGTATTGGTGAATAATGGATATAGGAACTTTTCAGTGGCAGAAGTCTCTCCCAAGGGGTCTGCCAAGCAACTTCCCTTTTCATTTTCAGATGAATGCTGAGAATTTTTTGTTTTGGAAAGCATTTTTCCACTGGTTTTCTGCAGGGTGTTTGTTTGTTTGTTTGTTGGGTTTGTTTTGAATGTTATACTTATTGAATTTTATACTTAATTTCTTAATGTAAGAAACATTTCCATTATCATTGCATATCCTTTTCCAGTTAGCAAGGAGAAAATGGAATAAAATACTTTAAATAAATAATCTTTTCTGGCTTCGAACTCTTACGATTTCTACCAATGATTAAGGGTTTTTTTTTACTGCAGTAGCTGAGTATAAATTGGCAGGGAATTAGAAGGAGGTTTCTGAGGCCACTTCTAGTGTGTTTCCAGGCCCAAAATTCATCTTCTGGACCTAGAAACACTATTCAGGAATAGGGCTTGGGCCAGCCATAGCCGTGTTAGAATGCTGCCTGCTTGAACACTGCTTCTGTTCGTCCAGTAACTCTTAAGATCTGGACATCTCATAGATAACATTTGATTTTAAATATTTGTGCTGTGTATTTATTCATCTTCTCCATTGTTCACCATTCAGAAATCTTTTAAAAATATAAAGCAGTCTACAAATGCTGGTTATGAGGACCAAAAAATACAAGTACACAAAACCCATCAGCAACTTATTTCTTTGTGGACTAAACACTGTATGAAGCAGGGTTGTACAACCTCTTTGGCCCTGCAGGGGGGCTACACAGAGGCACCCAACACCTCAGGGTTTACTGAAGGTGGAAGGAGGCTCAAGCTCCATCCCTGACTCAGAACTCTGACCCAACTGCTCCTTGCTCACTGCCATTTTTCTTGCTGATTTGAATCAGTGACTGAAATTGCCATGATTTCAATCAGTCTGCTCTGTTTCCCAGAGGCTCACATTTAGGTACAAGTCATTTTGAGATTTCTCATGATATAAAGATTGAATCCCTTTAGTTGTGTTCAGTCCCATTTACAGTGATTGTAAACTGCCTTGAGAGTATCTGTCAAATGGGTTGCATATACAAAATACAGAGATATATAAAACATAAGTTAGCACTGTATATTGGGACTAACTGACTGGAAACTTTTTATGTGCAATGCTATTGATTTTTGAGAAAAAAGACTGACACTAAAATCAGTCCCCTTATCATAGAACTGGAAAATAGCCAACATAATATCAATGTTTTAAAAGGGATGGGTTGGGGTGTGTGGGGGAGAAAAAAGCACGAGAATTACAGTTTTCTGTTCCAGGTAAACTAGTATAAACCAGTTGGTGTGCCTTGACAAATTCCCTAGTTTTGCAGTCCCGGGCTTACAGTAGACTCTTGAGCATAGATGAACTCCCCCCTCGGGGGGGGGGGTGCTATTAAGCAGAGGCAGCATGGTGGTTCTAAAGTTACGTTGACAGACTGTAGAACAGGGGTCCTCAAACTTTTTCTACAGGGGGCCAGTTGACAGGTGCCAGCAGTTCACGCGGGCTGCCAAGGTGGTGCCGCTGGGGGGGGGGGGGGCGGGGGGGGGGGGGGCGGGGGGGGGGGGGGGAGGGGCGGGGGCAAGGGGGGGAGGGGGGGGGTGCACAGGGCAAGGCGCCAGCTTGCTCTCAAGGAGATTGTTTTCTCCGAGCAAGTTCAAAACGACCTCCTCATGAACAAGCTGCGCATGGCAAGTGCAAAACCTCTGGGGCGGGTTGGTTAAATGGGCATGGCAGGCCAGATTCAGCCCGCAGGCCTTAGTTTGAGGACCCGTGCTGTAGAAGAACAAGACTTGCTAAGGAAGAATTGGTGTGGCTTCTGCAGTGAAGGCGCTTGGAACTTTGCTGTTCCACAGTCCATACCTAATTGAACTTCCTAATCGCTCCAAGGTCCCCTGCATGTGGTTCAAGGGAAAAGGAAGTGGTTGTGACAGGCTATAGATCAGGGGGATGGCATGGGGGAAAGTTATAACAAATTGTCTGACACTCCAAGAGTTCAGTTTTGTCTATAGGAACTCAGGTTTTCTGCCTGTTCACTTGGGTGCATTTGGCAAAGTGGGTAATGCAGCAACCACTATATTCATCTTATTTGTTTATTTAAAATATTTATATCCCATCCTATATGCAAAGCGTCTCAACACGTTTGAAATCAGTCAGTCTTTATTTCTGAGATATCTGAAAGATATACCTACAGGTGAGCCCCTGAGAAGCAGGGTGCATTCATTTAAGGCAATTTCAATCATTGATAGGAAATAGTAAGAAAAGGGATACATTTGAACTTCTGATTTTATAGTGGCCCTAAAGTAGTGATTGGCTCAAGGTCTTGTATCCCCAGACAACCTCGAATGCTGCTGTTCCACTGCTAATACCAACCAGAAAGCAGCACTGGAGTCAGAGTGGCTGGGCCAGGGAGGGGATGAGCCTCTTCCCTCGCTTACCAACCGGAAGCAGGGATCAATGCAGAGCAGCTGGATGAGTGTCTTGTGCCTCTGTACAGCCCTTGGAATCTTGGGGTCCAAACGTTTTGTGTATCCCTGCATTCTACACTTTACTCCATAAAGGAACAAGTTGCCGGTAGGGTTTTCTGTTTGTAGTTGAGCTTTTTCTTCCTTGTAACCCAAAGTTAGAAGGTATGTGCAAGAAGTTTTAACTGTGTGTTTTGCCTTGGTGTTGTCTGCTGCCTTGTAGGATGTATATAGAGGGTTGGGTGATACTGCAGGGGTGAGGGATTTTTAGCTGCCTTGTTTGAAAATGATATTTCCAGTCACTTCCTTTGCATTCTTTCTGTGTAACCATCCTTCTGCCTCAGAGCATGTTCCATTCAACTCAGAATGATGCACTGTAATTTGGAGGATGGAGTTGGGGAAAAGATGATTGCAAGGAAAAGCAAGTGCTACCTTCTTCTATGCATTTGATTATTTTTCATGGCTGGATCATCCTTTTTGCAAGTGGTGATGGGAACAGACAACTTTCATCCTCTCGCTGTGACTTACAAGAGCTTTCTATTTATTAAGTGTGTAATGTTGGAAGCTTACAACACTGAGAATCTAACCACATTTAGTGGCTCCTTGGAGTTACGCGTTTGTCCTACAATTCATACATGATAGCTTATAAGTGTGAAAGCAATATGACCCAGTTTGCATGTAATTTTATCATCTAATTTTGACATGACGTCTGAACTCAGATGCTGTAGGTTAATTGTGTATTAACCAATAGTTAACCTACAATTAGCAATTAGTAAGCTGTGGGGTTTTTAAAGCTGCAATTAGCCTGTAGTGTCCAGGTTAATATGTCAATGAATATTCCAGAAGGCTGCAGAATGTCCAGTTTGCTACCAGAAAGTACAAACAGCCCCAATGTCAAGCAAGTTTAAATCAGAGAAAGCATATTTACTGTCCTTTACTGAATATTTGTGTTGCTGTGTAAAATTGTGGCAAACCTGAGTTAAATCATTCTTCTCAAAGATCTCAATATTATTTCAAATAGCATATGTTAAACTAACATTATGCTGTCTTATCAATACTCTGAGTACAGGTTGTAGGTGAATAAAGCAAAGGTTTGTTGGTGAAGAAGCTGAAACCATATGGACTCCAAGGAGAGAAAATGATTACTTGTATATATTACCTATATACCTACTGTTATTCCTAAGGCAACTCTAAGATTGTTTTTCTCCACTGCTTGCTATCTTTAAACTCCTGGAAACACTTGTATGAAAATAAATGCATGGTCTGGGGCAGTCAGCCATTTAATTTGTTATCAAGGCCTATTTCTCAACAGCTTCCACTATCTTTGGACTCCCCGAAAACTAAGCATATACTGTATAGTTTAGGTCATCTTTGTTTTTCAGGGCCAGAGTTCTGGTTTCCCCTTGCTAATTCAGGCATTAAAAAAACCTTTCGCAGAAAACATGTAACAAGATGTTTCTTGCATAAAATATGACAGCAAACTTGATACCCTTTCAAAATAACTATGATTAAGTAAAGTATCTTACTATAGAGAAAAATTAAAGAAATGACATTAAAAATATCACAAGAAAAGATTACTTAGGTAGATAGATTTCTTTACTGTTTGCTTTGGATGTGAGTACTAGCTAGGACTCAACATAGTAGTGGCCACCTCTGATTGGAGCAGCTGTGTATCAAGAAGAAAGCGAAAAAGGGAAGAGGCAAGTCTTGTGAAAGGCAGTTCAAAGATGTGGTTTCTGTATACTATATTAATTCTGTATACTGTATAGTATTCTGTATACTATATTAATTCAGGTTAAAAATCTCTGAAAAGATCCATTTTACCTCTCTAGTAAAATTCTTATGCTCAATTCTTGTACCAAGAATAGGGGAAAGTAGTTAATATATTTAAGGTTGCTTAAAATGAAAGAGGGAACTGTGTGTGTATGAAAGAACTAACCAAAGCACTAATACGATGACTGTCTGTCTTTGTACCAGAAGATTTGACTAGTGCTACTATCAGCCCAGTAAATGTGTGTGTGTTGGGGGGGGGTTGCCATTATCATAATAGTTGTTACCATGCTATGCCTTTTGTAATGTAGAACTTTCATTATTAATGAAAACCCTTTTCATTGCTGTTTAGAAACCATGACAACTTCAGGAAAAGAAAACTTTCGACTGAAGAGCTATAAAAACAAGTCTCTGAATCCTGATGAAATGCGTCGCCGGCGTGAGGAAGAGGGCCTTCAACTACGGAAGCAGAAAAGAGAGGAACAGGTACACTGGAATCCCAGATGCAGTGAGAATGGGAAGTGCTATGTTCAAATGTGGAACCTGCTGATTTGGGTATTACCTTCTGTGGGGCAGGAAGGGGAGAGCCTAGTGCTTTCTCCCACTGTCGTTTCATGACCCAGCACATCAGGGACGTTTCTTTTCCTCTCCTCCCTATTTTCTGTCTTATGTAGCACAGGGATGAACAAATGTTTGGCTCCAAAACTACTGGGCAGTGATGTGCCATGTATTATGTATGCGCACACAAAAGTAAACATAGCTATGCACTCTCTCTGTCCCTTCCCAAACCCTGCCCCACAAGTCCTGATTCAGACTGCTGAGAGAATCTTGAAAACACTTGAGCAGTGGCAGGGGGAGGATTTTAACATTACATCACCACGCCAGTGATAGCCATTGCTGTGATTAAAGCCTCTTCGCCACAACAATCTGTATCAAGATCTCTGAGATGGGGTTAATCGTAAATCTTCCTTCACCTCAGGGGTCTTGATAGAGAGAGGTTTTACACTTGCCTCCCTCTCAGCAGCTCCTGACAGCCTTATGATGTTGGGAAACAGAACACATGAGGAAATGCATCACTGCACACCTTTTCCCCAGTGGGATCTGGCTTCTGGCAGTAGCGGTGCAGTGGAACTGGGAGAGCCGTGGAGGCAGCTGGTGCCAGCAGTATCCTCCCAAGCGGCCCTTCCTGCTTTAGCAGCAGAAGGGTGCTCCCCTTTGGGAAGAACTTCTTTCCATCAGGTTGATTATTTGCAAAGGGCAGTGATACCCTGAGAATATAGCTTTTACTTAGGAAGAAAATATTTCTAGGTGAAATTTATATTCTCAAATTCTGAGTGATGCCCTGTATGTTTAACATCCTCAAATGTAGTGCCTTGTCCTAAGTGTGTCTCAGACTCAGGACAACTTGACTTCCATGAGCTCCAAATAATTGTTTCTTCAGCACAGTCTACTTTTACTATGAAGCTGCAACTTTAAGCTTTGAAATCCAGATTTTCTGATTATCAGGGTTTGGTGATATTTTGCGGCTAACTACATTGTGGTCTGTAGGTAGCTGCCTAGGATGAATGGTTTTGAAGCTTAGTTCCTTCATGGAGCCCTTCTTGTCAGCTGTCTTAGACAAACAACTGCAAAACAAGTTTAGGGGAGTGTTCTAGAGCATGTATTTCAGCTTATCCAGGACATTGGCCAGGCCTTCTGGGCTTTGCAGAACTGTCCTTTGCATCTTCTATGTGAACTTTGCACTGAAAAATTCCTGATAAGCTTATCCCTGTGACAGTTTTTGAAAACCAGTACCTTGCCTAGCTTGTTCAATAAGCATCAGGCCCTGTTTGCTGTCTTGTCTTAACAATATAGCCAAGGTAATTTCTTCCCTGTGCCTTGCTTGCTTACTGCAGCCGCCTCTCCCCCCTGCTTCACTACAGTTTCATTTAGGATTTCTGCAATCTGCAAAAGGAAGGAAAGTCTTACTTGCCGTGGTCTGTATGGCCTTGGCCCCCTTTCTTCCAGCATATATAATATAGTTGAATGTTCATTTCTTAGCTTCCCATTGCTTCTGTTGTTAACGTTTCTATCCTTGCTTAGCCATTGCTTTGCCTTTTTTCTCTTTACTGAAGACAATGTACATCCCAGGATTTGACTGTTATGTGATTCACATTTGTGATTATTCTGTGGTATTTGGTAAATTATGGCTTCATTTATTTTGTAAATGCAGCTATATTGCTAGTTGTAACTGCAGTTATTCTTCCTTTGCAGCTATTTAAACGTAGAAATGTCGCCACAGCTGATGAAGAAGCAGAGGAAGAAGTTATGTCAGATGGCGGGTTCCATGAAACTCAGATGAATAACATGGAAATGACATCTGTAAGTGGCACTAAAGCTTGGCACCTCCAAAGTTTTCTTATTCTGTACTGCCAGTAGTGATTTCTGATACTACAAAGCCAAACAGATATACTGAAAAAATGGCATGCACTAAAAAAAATGTTAAATCCAGTGACAGATTATGCTAAACTATTATTTATATACAACTTTGCCAAACAAATGATAAAAATAGAAGGACTGTGAAAAAGCTATTTGTTGTGTCTTTTCAGTACAAAACTGTTTCCTAAGTCATGTGTCATTATCTCATAATGTAGATGCCCACCATAGGTAGTTCAGATTCTTTTGATAAACATAAAAGGGACAATCCAGAGGTATAAAGCCTCAGGTCATGTTGAAAATGAAACTGGATTTATTTTGTTGATTTTGATGAGACTTACTGACTGAGTTTACACAACACAGCAACCCATTGTGCTTAACAAGTCATGGTAGGTTGTCATGTTGTATGTAGCTGGAATGCTTCTTGCAGGATGGGTTATTCATGCAGATCACCTGTGACTGGATCTAGGGGTTGATGGACTCTCAAACCTGGACAACCAAGTCCATCATGGTTCCAGGAAGCAGCTAACATGCATTATCCCTTGTTCTCCTTGCCAAGCCAACCAGGGCCTCTGTCAGTGCCAGCTAAAGCTCGCAGCAGGGTGGGATGGCATCACTGACTTGATGCTCCCTGCTCTGTTTATGAGCCTTTTTAAGCTCACCACTGCTTTTTTTCACCTTTTACCTTTTGCATTTTTCTACCCTTTCCTGACATTCTGTATGCTCAAGAAAGTGGAAAAGATCAAGCTGCCCACTTTACAAGAGTCCAGTTCTTCACAGGATTGTCCATGGTATTTTAATATGGTCATATGCCTGTTAAACACCTCAGGTAGTTCTGCCAGAAACTATGGGTATGTTAAAAGGGCTGTTACTAGCTTTCAACTTGGGAATCACAAACAGTGGTTTCCTGGAAAAAAGACCTGAAAGCTTCAGCAAGCAGAATAGTGCTTGCAATCATGGCAGAAAGGACAGATAAGATTGGTCCTAGCATGGATTCCCCTGGGAGACCCACAGAGGAACAAAGGGGAGGTGTGTGGCTGACAGCTTTCCATGAGCCCAGTTCTCTGTCAGACACACCATGCATTGTTTCAGGAACAGCACCCTTGCATAGCTCATCTCAGGGGCATTGTTGTGATATAGGAACTTGGCCCATCTCTTAAACTATTCTAAATTAGCCCAATACACAAAATGTGAACTGCCCTGGAAGCTGTGAATATAGGGACTCTGACATCTGGAGCAAAAGAAAAGTGGAAATCCTAATAGATGGCTACTTTTTGCCCAGAAATGTACATGATTGCTACACATTCTCTTTGGAAAGATATTCAATTACTTGACTGTGTAGCAACTGTTTAATTAGGCAGCAGATGTTTAAAACAAAGTATTTATAAAAATACTGAGTGCAACATGTGCACACCAATCTTTAGCTATTAAAGTCCAGACAATTCATTTACTAAGGTGTTTTTTTTTTAAATTGGATTAGAGAGCCCAAATAGGCTGTGTTTATTTTAAGACAATTTAAAATGGTTCATGTAGTCTCTAATCTTTTACTAGGTACAATATGAGTTTTTGGCATCTTAACCTACTTCAGTATAATTGCATAGCATAATAGAAAACATCCATGTCCTTTTATAGCTTTTTTTGTTAACAGAAACAAATAGTTAGGAATTTGTTAAGAAAATAGGAAACAAATACTTTTGTTTCCATCAACATTTATATTGTTATTTATGCCTCTTCCAAAAATGTAGTCCTGCTTCTCATTATTTTTATCACTATTATAAGCAGGAGTGTTTCTTGAATTCATTTCTGCATGTGGAAAGAAAAAAACATTTACCTTGTTTGTACATAATGGTGGCATTCAGTGGCAAATAGTATGCTGCCAAATTCTACCATTACCTGTGTACAGCCTCAGGAGGTCCTCATAGATGCACCCAAAGTTATAACATTCTGAACTGCTTGTGGCATGCAGGTGAGAATTTGGTGTCCAACTTTTAAATAGGGAGTGTCTTTTAGATCAGTGGTTTCCAGCCACTGGTCCACAGACAGGTGCTGGTCTGTGGGAGATTTCCTGCTGGTGCATGTAAAAGCCCTGATAAGGAAGCCCTGGGGCAGGTAGGGAGCAAAATTTCAGTTTCATTTGATTACATTCAATTTCAATATTTTATTATTTTATTAGCATTTTACTGCTTAGTTTGTAGTTATTTTAGATAATTAGTTTTGGTATTATATTTAAAAATGAATACACAAAATATTGTATTATGTATATTTTTTTATTTCTGCCTCAGTGGTCCCCCCAAAATTTTCCTATTTTTGCTGGTGTACAGCTGTAACACTGTTGAAAAGCACTGTTTTAGATGATAATATTGTGACCCATGTCTGCATGTGGATTTTGTTGTTGATGGCTGAGGAAGGTTGAGGAATATTATGCAGTGAACAGTGACTAATAGTCTGTCCTAGAATTTGAGACAGAAATACGTTAATACGTCTTCTCTTTGGAATTGCAGAGTGCAGTGATTACATCTGATATGACTGAGATGATTTTCTCCAATAGTCCAGAACAACAGCTCTCAGCTACCCAGAAATTCCGAAAACTTCTCTCAAAAGGTGAAAGGGCCATACCAATATTTTTATTTACTTTCCAGAGAATTAAAAGGTGAAATATTAGTTCCTATCTTGTCAAGTAGTCACTTGAACTAATTGTGTGCTCTGTCCATATCGAGTACTTCCAGTTGCTTCTGTTTCTGCTAGTTTCTCATGATAGCCAAAAGCTTCTGCTTGGGAATAATTTGGTGGTGCCCCTGTTCTTCTGGTACCAGACCATCTTATTTGTCTCTTGAGAAACCTGTATGTGGGTCAAAGAAGCAACAGTGAGAACTAGATAAGGATCAACTGATTGGTTCAAAATTGGGAAAGGAGTACGGCAAGGCTGTATATTGTCCCCCTGCCTATTTGACTTATATGCAGAGTACATCATATGGAAAGGCAGGACTAGATGAACCACAAGCTGAAAGTAAGATTGCTGAGAGAAATATCAACAACCCAGATACACAGATGATATCGTTCTAATGGCAGAAAGTGAAGAGGAACTAAAGAGCCTCTTGATGCGGGTGAAGGAGGAGAGCACAAAAGTTGGCTTGAAACTCAACATTAAGAAAACTTAAGATCATGGCATCTGGCCACTTCCTGGCAAATTGAATGGAAAGAAATGGAGGTAGTGAGTGATTATATCTTCTTGGGCTCTAAGATCACCACAGATGGTGACTGCAGCCAAGAAATTAAAAGACGCTTGCTCCTTGGGAGGAAAGCTATGGCAAATCTAGACAGCATATTAAAAAGTAGAGACATCACCCTGCCGACAAAAGTTCGTATAATCAAAGTTATGGTTTTCCCAGTTGCAATGTATGGCTGTGAAAGTAAGGAAGGCTTACTTTTATAAGGAAGGCTGAACACCGAAGAATCGAGGCCTTTGAATTGTGGTGCTAGAGAAGACTTCTGAGAGTCCCTTGGACTGCAAAGAGATCAAACCAGTCAATCTTAAAGGAAATCAACCCTGATACTGAAGATGAAACTCAAATACTTCGAAGGAGGGACAGTATGGGATACTCCTCTTTGGCCCTTTGACTAGTGACTTACAATTGGTATGCAGTCTTTTCAGTCCTGAGGAACCTATATGATGCTGGTTCAGGGGTTTTGGGCTGCACAACCCGTACATGCAGAAATGTGCACAGCAGTAGCAGGGAAGGTGGAATTTGTGTGAGGATTGCTGGCAGGGAGGAGTAGAAAACTTCTCTCCACCTCTTCTCACAGTGATTCTGATTAAGGTTACTGTCTCCCAGCTGATAGCACAGGCAGCAAAAGAGGGACCTATATGTTGATTTCCGGCACAGGGAGTGAAGACTATAGATGGCAGGGGAATCAGCTGGCAGGGTGGAGGTTAAGGCACCTGTGTAGGGCTGCACTAAAAGTCTTGGAGTGTTTCATGCATTGTTTATCTTTGGCTTGTGGAGTCCCCCAGGGTTCCATCTTAGCCCCCAGGCTATCTCACACCTTCATGAAACACAGGAGAGGTTTGGGAGTCCTGTGCCACCATTATGAAGATGACAGCATATATTTCCTTGCCATCTAAATATATTTTCTATATGTCCTTTCCAACCTCCCCCCTCCCTTTCAGTTTCAGAATTGGTGTCTAGGGTTGATCATGGGCTAGATGCTGACTAACACATTGAAACTTAATCCATACAAGGTGCTCCCTCTCAATAAAATGTCAGATCAGGAAATATGGATTCAGCGAGTTTGCACTTACCTTGAAACTCAGGTTTCATACTTTGGGTGTACTCTTGGATCTATCATTACTTCCGGATTTCAAGGTCTCATTAGTGGCCAGGAGCATATTGTCCAACTAAGCCTAGTGCTACAGTTGTACCCATTCCTGGAGATGTGTCAGATTGGGCCATAGTGCCTCAAGCCTTAATTACATCTTGTTTGGCTGACTGTATTGAGTGATCTGACATATATACAAGTGCTATGCATGTTTTTGAGACATATGTACAAGATCTGACAAGTACTGGAACGTTCAGTTGGTTCAGATGCTACCTCCAGCCTCTTCATCAAGGCTGGTTATAATTCCATTGTTACAACAGCTTTGCTAGCTTCCAGTCTGTATCTGGGATCAAATCAAAATAGTGACTACCTACAAAATCTCAAAAGACTTGAAAGTAGGATACCAGAAGGATGTTTTTCTCATATAATTAGATTGCATTATCTGACCTTTGAAAGTGGTCTTACTCTCTTTGCAGATCAGAGTGTAGGAATGGAAGGTACAATAGATTGTATGAAAAAACTGGTACACATTGTATAGTGTTAAATGGCTTCATTCATTGAGTTATTGTGTATAATCTCACTAAAAGGGTAGAAAAAGCTTTTCTGAACTGAACTATTCTGCTTTGTAACAGAACCAAATCCTCCTATAGACGAAGTCATCAGTACACAAGGTGTGGTAGCAAGGTTTGTGGAATTCCTCAAACGGAAAGAAAACTGCACTTTACAGGTAGGTGTGTGTGTGTTCTTCTTTTGTCCAGCTGACTTGGGTTATTAAAGTAGATAAGGGATGAGATTGGCTTAAATGAATACCTATATGGATTGTTGCAGTAAACCTTTGGCTATCCTGGAAAACGAAGATTTAGTTTTTGTAGTTAAATTAGACCATTTCCTTCATGAATTCTAGTTCACTGCTTCTTAGTCAAGATTGGAAGGATATCGCCTGCTGGCAGTGTCAGTATTCATTCTTTAATTCTTTGCAAGGAAGTTGCCTGTTTTTAAAAAAACAGAACAGAAAGCTTATTTCCAGTACTATTCCTTGCTGCTCTACCTTGTGTGATGTTGCAACATCTTTCCAATGTGTTCATCCTTGGAGCTTAATGGCGGGTTAGAGAGAGCTGACTGATCTATGCTTGCTTCTAGTCTTCCAAAGGCTTTTAAAATAAATAAGCACATCTCTGTGCTTCACCATTTTTAGGAATCTATGCATATTCTAGGACTAATCCGAGTAGTGCTCTTGGATTTCAACCCTATGCAGACTTAAACCGGGGTGGAAGCTCAGTTGAACTCAGTAGGTTTTACCTCTGTGTAAACATGTATACCGGGGTTGGACAGCTTGTGACCTCCAGATGGTTTGGCCCCAGCATTCGCTATGGTACCAGGGGCTAGTAGCGATTGTAGATCAATACATCTAAAGGACCACAAGTTGCATATCCCTGTGTGAAAGGAATGCAAGCCCCAAACCTGAGTATTTTGTAAGCGTACAGTGGCGCAGGAGACAGAAACATGCAGGCCTGAGCTGGGCAGTCACCTGCAGCAGTTTTAACATCCCACCTTTTCTCAGATCTTTATTAGAAATTGCAAGGGCATGGACTGGTCAGTCTTCTTTCTTCCACTGCCCTCCAGAAGAAAAATCTTTCTACAAAATAAAACATTTACATCACACTAAGTGTGCTAAAAAGTGTTTCCCTCTTAAATATTTCAGGTCAAGTACTTGTGGCATATTGGGAAATTTTAGCTTTGTTGTTCAGTAAATACAAGTAAAATAAGTATTGCATAATTAGATCACTCTGGGGCATCAGAACATTCTGTGACATTAATGACACTTTGCAAATTAGCCCAATTCAACATCTTCCAGAAAATCCCACAACTGGTTCCAAGCAGCCATTCCTTCCAAGTGGGGCATTCCATTTTCCCCCCAACCCCATTTTCTAAATTATCTTCCCAGTCAGTGCTCATTATTCTGTGCTACTTAGCATGATGCATCAACCCTGGATTGTTGCGGGGTGGGTATATATATCGTTCCCTCAGGTTTGTGTTTTTAAGTTCGATTTTGTTTTGGGTTTTGTTTGTACTGCTTCAAATCTTAGATTTTCCATGAGCAGGAAACCTCTCCCTTTTGTGCCTTAGAAGAACCAGGTGCTAGCCCCGTTCATCCATGACAGAGAATGAGTCTTCCATCTTGTAGTCACTGGGCCTGTCTACACATAATGGTGGTAGATCTGCAGTTCATTAGCCCACGATTTGCTGCAGCACATGCTGGGCGTGTTCCACAGCCATTCTCAATATTCAAGCTCCAGTCAGGCCAACTAGGGATTGCTGCATGATGTCAAAACTGAATGAGTTAAAGCGCCTAAAGTTAACCTAACTGGTACTTGTAGACTGACTGTGGATTGTTTAACCCATGATTTAACTTACAGTGTTAGGGTTTAAATGTCAACCTCCAGTTGGCCCAATAGGGGTTGAGTATTTTAAATGTCTGCAAACATATCCAGTAAGCAGTGCAAAAGTTCTTGGGTTAATTAACCCACAATATGCCACCATGATGCACAAGCAGCCCCAGTGTCAAGTAGGATTAAATCAATGGAACCAGGATTACTGGTCTTTTATGAGTATTCTTGCTCGTATGTGAACTGAGTCACTGTAGTGAAGGTGAAGTGGGTCAGCGTGTTACACCAGTTTGAGTTGCATTTATTAAGTGTATGAAACAAAATTCCTTTTTGCATTTCTTTGCATTTAGTCAATTAGAAAAAAGACCAGGAATTTTTATTCATTTATTTTTAATGGTGAAGAAATTTGGGATATGTTCCTTTCAGGTTGTACCTGATTAAAACAAAAACTTCAGCTTGAAATACCAGAAAAACAAATAATGTTTTATCTTGTTGGCACCTCTTTATTCTCCGTGTTACAGGAACCTGATCATAAATGCTAATTGCAACCTAATCTCTAACCTCTGCAGTTACTAAGATGTGATTGTACTTAGATTATTATATGGAAAGCAGATGGGCAACATGGAAGGGTAACGTGCGTGTCTGTTGTCCTTTTGCCAGCAAAGATGATTTTATTCAGATTGGTCTTTGGCATATAAATTCGCCTGTTGCTGAAGCTGATTTTAATTAGTTGGTGTTGTTTACTTCTTTTAGTGTTGAGAATTTAGTTTATCTGATTTTGTGACCCCTTTTTAGTTACGATCTTCTTTAAAATCCATTATTGTTAGGTACCTTAAGTGCCATCTACTGGTGGAAAGGTGGAGTACAAATAAAATATATAAGGGAAAGGAAAATGGTATCGCAGGTGTGTTGCACATTGCAGAGGAAAGCATGTTTGCTTGTGCATATTGTGATCTCTGGCTGCCTTATCTGTGACACTGTAACTCCTAACTTTGTTTCAACTTTTAGTGTAAGCATCATGGCATAGACAAAGAGTTACACTGTCTTCTTATCTCTCCTATTCCAGTTTGAAGCTGCCTGGGTACTGACGAACATTGCTTCTGGAAATTCCCTTCAAACTCGGATTGTGATTCAAGCAGGAGCTGTTCCTATCTTCATAGAACTGCTCAGCTCAGAATTTGAAGATGTGCAAGAACAGGTTAGTGTTTCCAAAAGCAAAATGGCAGGTTCTGTAGTCCAGATACTCCATTGCACGTCTACCACTGTATTACTTTTGAAAATTAATTTTTATTAATAGAGCGTAACATAGAAAAGCCAAAACAGCTTCCCTTTTCCCGATGCCAAGTTTTGCAGGAATAAGCACCACTGAAGGCAATGCGATTTTCTTGCAACATGTATATATCAGGAGGTTTTCAGCTAGTTGTATCCTGCTGCCCATTTCATGGGCTGACTTTGCAAGAATCAGCACCATTGAAGACAATGTGTTTTACTTTTGAGCAGATAATACATATCAGGGTATTTTTGCTGCATCCCAGTGCTTCGCTAGGTGTTGTCACTAGTAGTATTTATTTTTTTAAATAGTTTAATCTGAAAATGAAATGGTGTTAATTTTTCATATCTTCATCTATACAGTACCAGAAAAACACCTGTACAGTAGCTGGTTTATAATTCCTTCCTATTCCAGTGGAAGGAAGTTTTTGTGCATAGGGGTTGGATGAGATGTTTTCAGTGACCTCAGATCTGCCTAGCAGTGGCAGTAAATGCTCTGCCTAAAAGGGTGCTATTGCTATTAGGTGACTTAAAACCTAGTAAGAAGAAAAATGTAAGAGTAGTTGTACAGTATATAATTTTAGTGTTTCAAATGAAAAGAAGAGGGGGGAGGAAAAAATAAAGAAAAGTAAAACAGTGTATGAAGGAAAGAAAGGAAAAATGTTATGACAGAAATTATGAAGCTTTTCCAGTGTTCTTCCTGCATGCATTGCCTTCTGTATTGTCCTTACAGGAATGCATTCATTTCTGAGAAACAGATTTCACTGGAATAGATTTGGCTCCAATATGTCATAAAACCTTAAATTCTTGATAGAAAATGCAAACCATCCAGAGGTCAGCTGTAGGGACCCTTCTCTGTGCGACCCCTCTGAGAGTAGCTGGTAGGAGGAATGGGCCTTCTCTGTGACATCCCTGTGTTTATGGATTTCATTCTCCAAGGAAGCTTCTCTGGTGCCAACACCATCATCTTCTGGGCAACAGGCAAAAGTGCCCAAATGACCAGGAAGATAAGTGCATTAATTCTGGCCCTAATTTTGTGATGTTCATTCTAGGCTGTGAACAGAGGAAATATATCGTGTTTGTGGGTGAACTATTTTCCTGTTGTACTGCTGAGAATGAAAGAAGGCAGCAGAGAATGACAGCTCAAAGAAGAAATAGTATAGTATTGAATCTCCTGCCTCAAAACTGACTAAAAGTAGGCCATGTTTTGGTGTCTGTATTGACAGCAAATGGCTTATTCCTTGTTTTCAGTATATGAAGAGACCTTTTTCCTCTCCATTATGGGGCCGTGGGCAATGTTTTTATGCAGTTTTGCCTCCTTTTTCCTACTCTTACTTAAGAAATTCTATAGAACTATATCAATCTGTAGTTGATATCTCTATCAATCTATATCAGAAAGGTGAACCTGGGAACTATAGACCAGTCAGTCTCACATCAATCCCTGGAAAAAAATCTGGGGCAGATTATAAAGCAGTCATTCTGCAAACACCTTGAAAACAATGCAGTGATTACTAGAGGGCAACATTGATTCCTTAGGAACAAATCCTGCCAGACTAATCTGATTTCATTTTTTGATTGGGTAACTTCCCAAATGTGGGAATGCTGTGGGCTTAATCTAGACTTTAGCAAAGCCTTTGACAAAGTGCCCCATAACATCCTGATTACCAAACCAGCAGAAAACAGGCTAGATAGAACAACAGGTGGGTGGATCCATAATGGGCTGCATAATCATACTAAAAGAGAGCTAATCAATGGTACATTCTCAAGCTGGGGAGAGGTGACAAGTAGGATGTGACAGGGTTCTGTCCTGGGACCGGTACTCTTCAACATTTTTAATAATTATTTAGAATAGGAAGTACAAGGAAAGATAATTAAATTTGTAGACAACATAAAGCTGGGTGGAATAGCAAATACCCTGGAAGACAGAGATAAAATACAGGGTGATCTCGATATGTTAGAACACTGAGCTGAGAACAATAGAAAGAAATTTAGTACAGACGAATGCCACGTCTTCCACTTAGGAACAAGAAAACAGATGCATGGCTACAAAATGAGGAATACTTAGCTCAAGCATACTGCAAATGAGAAGGATCTTGGGGTTGTTGTAGATCACAAACTAAGTGTGAGTCAACAATTTGATGCAGCTGCAGAACATTCAAATGCTATTTTGGGCTGTGTTAACAGAAGCATCACTTCCAAAACACATGAAAAAGTAGTTCCGCTATACTCAGACCTCACTTGGAGTACTGTGTCCAGTTCTGGGAACCCAAGGTTTTAAAAGAGTCAGAAAAGCTAGAAAGGGTACAGAGGAGGGCAACAAGGATGATTCAGGGACTGGAGGCAAAGCCCGGTAAGGAAAGACTGAAAAAACTAGGCATGTTCAGCCTCAAGAAGGGAAGACTGAGGGATGATATGATAACACTCTACAAGTACCTCAAAGGCTGTCAGAAAGAGGAAGGACAAGACATTTTCTTGTCCATTCCTGAGTGCAGAGCACGGAATAATGGAGTTGAGTTAAAAGAAACCAGACTAGACACCACAAAGAATTTTCTCACTATCAGAGCAGTACAACAATGAAACCTGTTACCTGGGGAAGTTGTGGGCTCTCCCTCGCTAGAGACATTCAAAAAGCATCTGAACAGTCATCTGAATGGGATGGTGTAACTTTGTGTCCTGCAGTAGCAGAAGGTTGGACCCAATGGCTTTCTGACCCCTTCCAATTCTACTAGTCTATATCCGCTTTGGGGAACAACTGTATCGTAGCTGCAGTAGCAAGTAGTATCATGGTAGTGAAACGTACACAAAGGAAAGACCAACACATACAACACAAATAGCTAGGTTGCTCACTACACACAGTGGAATAGGTGAGTGGATTATGTGAATGCACAGATGACTACTTGAAAAATGACAGTTAAGCAACCTGACTTTCTACGTTGTGGTCTCTGTCATCATACATATGGGCGACTAGCAAGCTTACCCATATGAGGATGGTGGGTTGGTGTCATCATTGGAGAATTGCTGAAAGGGTTGCCCTCTCAAATGCCCTGGCATGAACATCAAGGTTCTAGGGAAGTTGTGGGCTCTTCCTGGAGACACTCAGAAGGTATTGGGACTGTCATCTGAATGGGATGGTGTAACTTGACAGTGGCAGGTGGTTGGACCTGATGGCCCTCTGGCCCCTTCCAACTCTACTATTGTATGAGGCTTCGGCGAATGGGGCAGCATAGAAATTTTCTAAATAAATAATAAATAAATGATTCTATGACTTTATGACTCAAACAATCCTAGAGAGAGAGAAAGCAACAGAGAGAAAAATTAATGACATGTGCAGTTTCCCAAGTCTTAAGCAGCTCTCTGAAGCCTAGAAAATGTTTGGACTACCCCAAAATTTGATTGGATCTCTGAAGATCAGAACTGTAACTAAAGAATCTGACATTAATTAGGTCACTGGATTAGATGGGTATCCAAGCAAGAACTATAAAATATTTTGAGGGATTATATGCCTCACCTTAAAACATTTCTGAACTACATTTTAATAAGTCCATGAATGTGGAGACAAGCCAGAGTGATAGCTGTCCGCAAACATAGTAAGTCTTGGTAGGTTGCTATCAATGCATTTTGCTCTTCAGTTGAGATGCAAAGGTGTTCACAGCTGTTACGGCCAGATGACAAAATACCAACAACATGCTAAACCAGTGTGGTGCAGTGTTTAAGAGAGTGGGACTGGGACTCAGGCGATCTTGGTTCTAGTCCCCGCTCGGCCATGGAGCCAACTGGGTGGCTTTGGGCCAGTCACAGACTCTCAGCCCAGCCTACCTCACAGGGTTGTTGTTGTGGGGATAAGATGGAGGAGGAGAATGATGTAAGCTGTCTTGAGCCCTTTGTAGGAAAAAGGCAGGATATAAATCGAAAAATAAATAAATAAAATAAACAGGTGTCATGCCTTTGAAACAGTTGGCAACCCCAATTCATAGGACACTTAATATAATCCACCACCACATTAAGAAGGAACATGCCTTATGAGTCCTGTCACTCAGCTTCTTTGAGGCATATGATTGTCTGGAATAGTGCTTTATCCTAAGCACCTTAGGAAGTGGTTACAGGGAGCACTTTCTGAGAGTAGTGAGACATTTCAGAAGTACTAAATCACACAAATAGTCTAGACCAGTGATGGTGAACCTTTTAGAGGCCGAGTGCCCGAACAGCAACCCAAAACCCACTTATTTATCACATAGTGCCAACACTGCAATAAAACTTTTCAGGTTGTTTAGAAAAAACATCTCACAGTGAGTCCAAGCAAAATTATATACTTATATATACTTGGCAGTGCACTGACCGGCCATCCGAAAGCTCGGACGAGTTGCGGCTCATGATGTCATCAGCCGGCACCGCTACTCCTTTCCAAGCATGCGCATGGCCCCTATGTATGCTGGTATCCGATGCTTGGCTTTTGGGGTGATGCTGGGGTGACTTGGCTCACATGCTGACAGAGAGGGCTCTGAGTGCCCACTGTGGCACACATGCCATAGGTTCACCACCATTGCCCTAACCCTACCCTGGTGCGCACCCTTACCCTAAAAGAGGTCGAAAGGTCCATTTAAAAGAGGCCGATTTTGAAAAAGCCTTCCTTGAGTAGCTTTTTCTGCACTGCTCACCATTTCTGCCCATTCTAAACACATTCCAACCATCAAAATCTTGCCAGGACACCTCATTTTTGTAACCCTAACCCTGCCCTGATGCACACCCCTAGCCTAATATAGGCCTACATTCAATTGAAAATAATGCGATTTTGAAAAAGCCTTCCTTGAGTAGCTTTTTCTGCACAGCTCAGCATTTCACACCTCATTTTTCTAACCCTAACCCAGTGATGGTGAATCTTTTAGAGACCGAGTGACCAAACTGCAACCCAAAAACTGCTTATTTATTGCAAAGTGCCAACACTGCAATAAAACCTGAAAATTGAGGTTTTCAGATTGTTTAGAAAAAACAACTCACAGCCATTCCAAGCAAATTTATATATCCTTGGTAGTGCACTGACCGGCCATGCAAAAGCTCGGATGGGTCACGTCTAATGAGTCGCGGCTCGTGATGTCATCACCTGGCGCTGCCATTCCTTTCCGAGCATGCGCATGGCCCCTGTGTGCGCTGTTATCCGATGCTCGGCTGCTGGGGTGATGCTGGGGCAACACTGCTCGTGTGCCGACATAGAGGGCTCTGCGTGCCCGCTGTGGCACATATGCCATAGGTTTGCCACCACTGGTCTATCCTCTCAGTAAAGTTATGCAGAGGAATTTGGCAGGGCTGCCTTCTGTTTGCTGTAGCTACAGAACTGCTAGTTAACAAGATCAGAACAAATGCTAGGGTCAAAGGGTTTTTTTTCCAAGGACAAGAACATCTCATGCATTTATTTGCTCTTGACATGCCCTTGCCTGCCACGGCCCTCTTCCCTCCTGTCTCTACGGCAACAAAGTCGCCCTTGCAGTAACTCCTCCAGGTTTCCCCTCGCCGTTTATGTGTGAGCGACAGCCAAGAAAGCTCTTCCCAACAACACACACTTCTCTGCTTTTGCGCCTCTCTTCTACTGCCCCCCATAGGAAGCAGAAGTAATAATTTGATCCTGTAGACATCTCTTGGAAGAGGGATGATCTGTTCTTATTCTCAAAGAATATTTAACTGTTTTTGGATCTGCCAACTTACTCTCATTATAACAGGCACAAACTTATCTCTGGAGTTCAAAATTTACTGAGTGATGAGATTCACCCATTCTTGAAGCTTGCAACTTTTCTTTTGAATAGAGTGGAAAATTCATTTTATGCAGCCATACACCTTGCAGTGGTGGCCTTGAACCAAAATATTAGCAACTCTTCTCTTACCGTTCTATTACCTTTTGGGTCATCCCCTATCTGTAGTGTTGTGAGTGGAGAGCAAAACTTTTGTTTTGCCTCAAAGATCTGCTTGCAGGAAGCAAATCAGTTCCAACTGGAACATAGGCCCTTTCCTTGTAAGAGGAAGAGGTTTCCTGCTTGTAAAACTACCAAATTGGTTCCTTCATTACACCATTAATCACTAAGTGGTGGAAACTGCAGTTCCTTATACTTTTTAAGAACTTGTGTAGTGAACCATGTAATGAACTAAAAGGACTTGCTTCCCTAATATGTAACTGGTTAGTAAATGAGACTTATGAGAACTCAACTGGCATCAGGAGGTCAAGAGAAATAGATTTGGATGAGAGGTTTTCAGTCCTTATGGACTCACTTATGGTTAACCTTTCCAATTTAACTGTTTCACCTAAAATTAGAGGCCTCCATAAAAGTATAATATTGGTGACACCTTTTCCCTGAAAAACTCTCTAAGATCTATTATGTTTTGCCTCCACTTTGCTGGAAAGGATGTGTCTCTAGAGGTCACTGTGGCACACATGCCCTTTGTAGTCCTATAAAGGCAGAATTTTGGAATATGGTGTTACATTTATTATCCCATATAACAAATGCATATGTAAAACATTATGGGGCTTTACTTTTATTGTCAATATTTCACAATAAAAATGAACAACTATTGCATAAAGACTTGCTGAGACTTTTGCTTGCTGCTGCATGTTTACAAGTCATGGCTCATTTGAAAACTGGAGATTGGACTCTCAGAAAGGCAATGGATAGAGTGGGATTTGGGTAAATGATCTCAGAGAAACTGGCACAGAATAAAAGAGCTCTGAAAGAAACAGGATCTCATGATGTTTTCATAGCTACCTGCTCTGCTTTCTTCATTTATGTCATTGAAAATAATCAGATGAGAAATCCAACAACTGCCCAATTCAAATACTAAAATGGTTCACATGTAGCATGTTCTCAACTATTCTCTTTTCAAGCAAAATAGAGAAAATGTCTTGATTTTTCTAGATTCATGCATTCTCAGATAGCTTCGCTGTTAGCCAATAATACAAGAATGTGTGTGAGGAAGGAAGGATTGTATTTGAGATAGCACAACTATCCAAGTCCATGATTTGTCAGAGTTAAATTATCTTCTGTGATCGCTGATATGGACCACTAAAGTGCAAGTTCAGTCTGTGGGCTAATAGATCATCTGATCTGATGATCTGGAGTCTGTCTTGGATGAGATTGTACCCCTGCTTGAAAGACAGTTCTGTTCATGGTGGTTTGATGTCTGACATTGTCCCTGGAGGCATAAATGGCATCGGTGCCATAGATCTGTTTATGCTAGCTCTCTGTATGTGGGGCTTCACCTTGCAAGACTGTTTGGCAAGGAGAGCTAATGCATTGTTTTTGACCTCAGTATCTTGGGATATGGTTACTTGCATGACTGTTCTGTTATGATCCTGGACATTTAAGGCCAACCTCTGAGTCCCTGCTTCTAGGTCCCACTACCTTCTGAGATGGGTAGGATATCACTCCCCTGTAATGCCTTCATGGAGGAGATTAGACTAATTTTCTTTTCCATGGCAATTCAAACCTTTATCCAGTTCTTGTCATGTTAGAATTGTATTATATTGCTCTTCTGTGTTACTTTATTGTGACTTTTTATTAAAGTTTTTAAATTGTGACTTTATTATTTTGCTACAGATCGCATGGGAGCATTGCTCAACAGTGGTCTTAAATATGTTAAAATAAATGAAAAATTAAAATATTCTTGGTGCTGAAATGAAGAACACAGAACTGTGCCATAAGAAAAGTGTTTAACACATTCCCTTTTTCTTTCTCAGGCTGTTTGGGCTCTTGGCAATATTGCAGGTGACAGTACTATGTGTAGAGACTATGTGCTTGATTGCAACATCTTACCCCCTCTATTACAGTAAGTCCTTATTACAATACCCTCAAGTTTACTAGCGAGGCTAACATAAGATGCTCTGCATAAGGCAGCTCTGCTTGCTAATGAGGTCCCACAAAAGAACAGATTTCAGGGCATGGTCTGAAGATAGATGATTCAGGCACCCTGCTGCAGCTGAGCTGGTCTAGGTCTGGTCTGTGCCTGGATAGAGGATTCTGTGTTGCACCTTCACTTACATGATGGAAGAGTGCTGGGGCATAAATGTGCTTGAATATTAGGAATAAGAGTAGTGACTACCACCCAAATAGGGAGTGTGCATGTATGCACCCAACCAAGCACTGCAGAATTTGGAGCCATTTGCAGACTAATAGAGATACGTGTCATTGTCCCTAACACACTAGTTTTGTAGTTGAAATTCATTGCTGTAATGTCTGTCATGGAGAAGAATGGATTAGAGGGTAAAGTATGTCAGTATATGCCACACCGCACCAACAATAGATCAACTTAATTGTGCAAATAGGGAATGTTGTTGTACCTGTAGCTCAGCCTCTACTGACCCCATTATCAGTTTTTGCTCCCCACATATTATTCCATAGAAGTGTTAGATTTGTGCAGGAAAGTTGTTCTTCGTCGTGGCCTCTGTGCATCACACATATGGGTGCTGCACCTGCGCAGTGCCTAGGCCGGAAGATTAGAAAGCTAACGGTTTTTGGCGGGAAAAGCTCCGCTCCCCTCCCCTCGCCCCACAGTATAAATAGAGCGGAGCGTCCGCCATTTTACTCAGTCTTTGCGACCGCCGTTCACTGTGCCTCGTGCCTGTTCGTCTCTCACTTAGATTTTCGCCTTGTGCTCCTAACGGTTAGACCTTGTTCTACTTACCTCGTTCCTCGTTATATTCCCAGTTCTTTCTTCTCTTCCTCGTTGTAGTTTTTCTTCTATCTCTCTTAAAAAAAAAAAAAACCAAAAATATTATTCTTACCCTCTGTACTATCATCTCTTTCTTCTTTTTCGCGATAGCACAGCAGGCGGTATTCTGCAAGTGCAGTGAGTGCGGCTCCAAAATGTCTCCTGCCGACCCGCATGACTTATGTCTCCTCTGCCTCGGCGAGGGGCATAGGACTGACAAGTGCGTGCATTGCCTGGCCTTTACTAAACAGGCCAGGAAGAATACAGAGAATCGTCTCCATAAGTTGCTTTGGGATCAGGCCTTGCTCCAATCCGACCAGTTGGTCTCAAGGCCTACCCCTTCCTCAGCTGTACCACTGCAGCGCTCCGCCTCTGCTTCAGCCGCACCCTCTAAGCGCCCCGCCTCAACATCGGCCACGCCACCGCAGCGTCCTTTGGATGAAGGCGCTGCTTCGACGGAAGTGCAACGGCTCCCTTCTCCTCCAGCTAAACAAAGGGAGAAGCGTAAACATTCAGAACCGGATAAATCCTCTGGGCACAAGAAGCCGAGGAAAGATAAGACGACGAAGGCAGCCCATAAGGGCAAGAAACTCGACCTCCCCAAACATCGGGGCTCGGGTTTGTCAGGGTTCTCTGTACCAACTGCTGCTACGGTACCAACTCCCTTGGGACCGGCCCTACAATTGGCGATGCAGGTGACTCTGCCGGGATCCCCCAGGCCTGTGGCTTGGCCTGAGAGCGTGTCTCCCCCATGGGAGCCACCGCTTAGGGAGTCCATCTCTGATGGAGAAATTAGAGATCCCCCACCGAGACAACGTTCCCCGACTCCGATGCCTACCGCTGGGCCACGTGAGGGAACACAGTTGCCACCTAGGCGTAGGTGCCGATCATCGGAACGCCAGGGGGATGACTGGCCTATGCCTGGCTATGGCAGCTTCCCAGGCTGGAGTGGATATCCACCCTATGCTTACTACCCTCAGGACCGTCGTTCGCCATCGATCCCGAGAGAGGCACCATCCACGTCTGGCCGTATGGAAAGGAGACCTCCACCTTCTCCCTAGACCTCCTCGTCTAGCAAACACTGCCGCTACCACCATGACTCGGATGAGTTGGAAGTAGACTCCACGTCCCCAAATGTGGCCATCACTTCCCAAGACCCTGGATCCCTGGATGAGCCCCATGTTTCCTTCTCGGAACTCATTTCTCGTCTGGTTCGATTGCTGGAAATAGAGGCCTACCATTGCCCCGGCCCCAGCACCAACGAATTTTACGATATCGTTCGGGGAGAGCAGTCTGCAACCATTGCCTTGCCTCTTATTACCACGCTCCGCCAGGCAATGGTCCAGCCCTGGGACCAACCGGCACAACCGCAAGCGATGTCTCGTCAGTACGAGTCTATGTACCAGGTCAGAGAGGAAGATATTCCATTCTTGCTGCACCACCCTAAGCCCAACTCTGTGGTGGTCGAGTCGTCCCAGGGCAGGGAGGCTCGGGGCCATATAACACCCGAGATAAAGAAGGGAGGATGTGATTGCACGTCGGGTTTATGCAGCTGCAGGACTCGGCGTGCGCATATCAAATTATGAGGCTACTCTGGCACGTTACCAGTACTTCATAATGCAGAAGCTGGATAACGTCGCCTCCGCCCTCCCAGTCCAACAGGCAGACCTAGCCAGGGTCTTTATAAAAGAGGCGATGTAGGTGGCCATACAGCAGTTGTCCACCGCAAGACATCATGTGGCCATTGACTCTCAGGCCATGGTCAGTGCTATTTCCCTGTGACGACATGCGTGGCTCAGGAATTGTAACTTTCCTGAGGAAATGAAGAGGAGGATAGAGGAAATGCCATTCGATGGCACTGGCCTCTTCCACGCGAAGACCGATTGAAAACTCAAAGCCATCCACGAATCCCTCATGACAGCGCGTCGCATGGAGCTCCCACAAATCAAACGTAAGTGGTCATGGTCCAGGCCTTATGGACGTCAGCAGTATCAACCTCGCCAACAATATCAACAGAGGCAGTAGCGTAGAAGGCAACAGCCCCAACAGCACTTCTCTCAGGGCCATTGGCGCTTCGACTCCAAAAAACGCCCTCGTTGACGGTCCCAGCGAACCAATTCATCTTTCCACCTCCCACCTTCCCATCTCCCTTTTGGGAGCCAGCTTCAAAGTCGACTCCCTATTTGGGAGTCCATTACATCTGATAGGTGGGTGTTGTCCTTCAGCTTGGATATAGAATAGAATTCAACATCGTTCCACCGTTGAGCCCTATCCGATTTATGCCACCATCTTCGGTTTTGTGCGATGAGGTCTACCAACTTCTTCGTAAAGGTGCGATTCAACAACTTTCTCGCACCGATGGGCTACATGGATTCTATTCTTGATATTTTATGATCCCCAAACAGGACAGTGGTCTTCGACCTATCCTGGATCTGAAGAATGTCAATAGATACATTAAACCAAAAAAGTTCCGGATGACCACCTTACAGAATATCCTTTCGTTGCTGAAAAAAGGGGATTGGTTCACCTCATTGGACTTGAAGGATGCTTATTTTCATATCTCTATCCATCCTTCCCATAGACGCTTCCTGCGTTTTACTGTTGGATCCAATATTTTTGAATTCAATGTACTCTTGTTCGGTCTAGCTATGGCACCGAGAGTTTTTACAAAATGCATGACCCTGGTATGCGCCCACCTACGGCTTCGGGGTATACAAGTCTACCCCTATTTAGATGATTGGCTCATTGTGTCACAGACTAAAGACAACCTACTTGCGGCTGTCCATACGACTTGTACTTTGCTTGATGACCTTGGACTTTGCATTAATTTTAAGAAATCGTCACTTATCCCAACACAGGTCATTGATTTCATCAGGGCACGTATCGACTCCATTCTACAAAGAGCATTTCTTCCTCCATCCCATGGAGCCATGCTGTGTGCCCACATCCATCGGATCCGACGACTGAGGACAATGCAAGCCGTCACTATACAAAGACTGCTGGGGCACATGGCGGCCTCAGTAGCCATTGTGCCTCATGCAAGACTCAGACTTGGGCCGCTTCAATTGCTCTTCAACAAATCATTTCACCCGCAATGGGATTTACAAACCAAGCTTCTTCGGATCCCATCCTCGATCCTTCACTCCCTAACATGGTGGACTGTTACACGCAACCTATCTACAGGCGTTCCGTTCCGTCACCCCCAACCAACTGTGACATTGTACACCGATGTGTCCCTCATCGGATGGGGTGCGGCATGTGCAGGACTTCGGGTCCAAGGGGCTTGGAACCAACAAGAAGCGGGGAGACACATCAATTTCCTCGAGCTTCTAGTGATTTTCAACGCTCTCAAATCTTTCAAAACTGTTATACGCCACCAAGTTGTGCAGATTGCGTCCGACAACATAGCTGCTGTCTTCTACGTCAACAAGGTGGAACGAAGTCTCCGCTCTTGGCCCGATTGTCAATGCAAATCTGGGATTGGTGCATCCCAAGGGACATAATGCTGCTGGCGGTACACCTTGCAGGGACCGACAGTGTAGAAGCAGATACACTGAGCAGGCAGATGTCAATGACCCACGAGTGGGAGTTGGACCAGATGATTTGCAACGAACTATTCCAGTTGTGGGGATACCCGGACATAGACTTGTTCGCTACCCGAAAAAACAGGGTATGCGAACTGTTTTGCTCCAAAGCGGGTATCGGACAGGACTCAAGGGGAGATGCCCTCATGATCACTTGGAACAACCTGTTCTTCTATGTGCTTCCTCCAATTCCCCTTCTGATGAAGGTGGTATCAAAGATTGTACAGGACAATGCTACAGGGATTTTGATAGCCCCATGGTGGCCGAGGCAACTCTGGTTCACCACTCTCCTTGTTCAGTCCAAAGGTGTTTTCCGTCGACTTCCACCGGTCCCTCACTTGCTGACGCAATGCAACGGAGCAATCCGACACCCAGACCTAGCTTTGCTCAAACTGACAGTGTGGAACATTCGCTCGATTCGGTCTCTCGGTTCCGTTACCATCCCAATCCACGGAATCCTCATCTCAACTGCGTACACGACCGACTCCTCCTTCGGGATCGACAGAAACCGTCTTGGGACCGACGTTTTTACATCCTGATATCCAGGTGATTCTTGAACTTGCACTAAGACCTTCCACACACCAATCTTACTCAGCAAAATGGAAAAGATTTTCTTCCTTTGCTGCCCGTCATTCTTTTTCTCCAGAATCGGCATCCATTGAGAACATTTTACAATTTCTGTTCGAACTTCACTGCTTGGGACTTAAACCTTCATCTATAAAGGTTTACACAGCTGCCATCTCACATTTCCGTGGTACCATACAAGGCTCATCAGTTTTTTCTCAACCTCTGATCCGTCGTTTTCTTAAAGGACTACAAAATTTACACCCATCAATTCGCCCGGTCATGCTGACTTGGAGTCTTTCTGTTGTACTCCAAGCACTAACAAAGCCACCATTTGATCCTCTGGCGACGGTGGATCTATGTCTAGTATCATGGAAAACTGCCTTCCTTGTTGCGGTTACTTCAGCCAGAAGGGCCAGTGAGCTTTGTGCTCTGCGCATAGACCCACCATTTTTGAATTTTCACAAAGAAAAGGTGGTTCTTCGAATGGACACAGCGTTTCTTCCTAAGGTGGCAACATTGTTTCATTTGAATCAGGATATCTTCTTGCCTGCATTCTTCCCATCTCCATCGACTCTGATTGAACGCTCTCTCCACACACTTGATGTTCGGCGCTGCCTTGCCTTTTACAGATCTCGCATAGAATCCTTTAGGAATTCTAACAGACTTTTCGTTAAATATGCTGATAATGACAAAGGTTCTCCAGTCTCATCTCAGCAATTATCTGAATGGATTGTACAGACCATAGTGTTGGCATACCAGTTGGAAAGAATGGACTTACCTACACTTCCGAGGGGCCATTCTACGCGAGCAGTAGCAACTTCGTCGGCTTTTGCAGCAGGTGTTCCAATTCAAGATATTTGCAGAGCCGCAACCTGGGCTGCTCCGTGTACTTTCGCCAAGCATTATCTGCTTGATGTGTGTGCCAGGCAGGACTGTTCCTTTGACTCTCTGCCATTCTTCAGTGACGACACCTCCCTCCTCCGAGTCTGGTAAGCTTGCTAATCACCCATATGTGTGATGCACAGAGGCCACGACGAAGAAAAGCAGGTTGCTTACCTGTAACTGATGTTCTTCGAGTGGCCATCTGTGCATTCACACAACCCACCCGCCGGCCCCACATGGTGTCGGTGAGTGGACTTGTTTTTTTTTTTTTTTTCTATCGGTTCCGTACTAATCTTGTGGTACCAATGTTGCTTGTTGTGGTACTGTCATTGACTGCTAGAGGGTGAATGTTGGTCTTCAAGACTGAGTAAAATGGCAGACACTCCACTCTATTTATACTGTGGGGGGAGGGGAGCGGAGCTTTTCCCACCAAAAACCATTAGCTTTCTAATCTTCTGGCCTAGGCACTGCGCAGGCGCAGCACCCATATGTGTGAATGCACAGATGGCCACTCGAAGAACATCAGTTACAGGTAAGCAACCTGCTTTTATTATTGTTAAAACATCCCAAGACCTCAGTAAGGGATGGTCTAAGAAGTTTTAAATAAATAAATAAATAAATAACATAAAAATTAGGTGTTCGTTGCATGTTTGTTTTGTTTGTTTGTTGCAAGCGTGAGTTTACATTGAAGACATCACAGAAGTTTCTATTGTATTTTCAGATTGCTTTCCAAACAGAATCGTCTTACCATGACACGAAATGCTGTGTGGGCACTCTCTAACCTTTGCAGAGGGAAGAATCCTCCTCCAGATTTTCTTAAGGTAGGAAATAGGCTGAAAGGAATTAAGAAAAAAATTCTGCCTTCAGTAGGTAAGAAAAAAGAGTTGGTAACACTGCATGGCTTCTGAGGGTGAGAGAACCAAGTCCTCATCTGTGGAAATGATACAGCATTGTTAGTTGCATTTTTCCTTTATTAAGGGTGCTTTCAGATGAGTGTTATCTAGCCAGTTGCTTCTCCTGCTGTAAGCTGCAAATTGAATTGCCTTTGACTTTCCTCCCGCTGTAAATAGACACCTCTGTGTTTTCTCCTTTCTAGTGGAAATACTGTGTTTCGAAAAGTTGGGAAAGTAGCAGTAAAATTCATTACTATTAAAATTCAGCTTGAAAGATGGATTGAAATGGATCATGGTGAATAAATAATATTCACTAGAATGGTAATAGTAAAAGTGTGTCAAGTGGCATCTATTCATCTACCCTGTATATGACTGTACTCATAAAAGAATGTTTCTTAAAGACAGATGAGGAGCACTTAGGGTAACTACAAAAATTGTTCTACTCTTCTGCTGTTTTCAGTAAAGTGAAATTTTCTGTGGCCTGAAAAAAGACAAAAGGACCAAGGTAAATCAGAGGGCAGCTAATGGATGGTGCCCATACATACTTCCTTAAAATAAAGTATGTGAATGAAGTTTCACAACTCTGTACTAACAGTGCAGTCCTAAGAAGCTTGCCCTCAGGTATATGTGAATTTAGGAGATCTCCTAGTTCTTCATCTTTAAAGCAACCTTCCCAACCCAGTGTTCTCCAGATGTTTTTCTCTACATCTCCAGGATTGCTGTTCATTGACCATGCTAGATAGACCTGATAAGTCTAAAACACCTGCAGGGCACCAGATTGGGGAAGGCTGTTTTAGAAAGTAGTATCATTATGACCACTATAATGGTTGGGATATGGTTCAGAGGCAGCCCTGTTAATTTCAGCACTCTATCCTTGCTTCTAGGATCAAAGATCCTCTGCTTATATCTCAAAAGATATGGAGCTGTTCACACTGCATTATGTGAACCAGAGCAGCTCCTTTCAGCATGTTACTCGTAACATGCCATAGATACCCTGGCAAAGCAAGAGGTTCCAGAGGTGCCATTGGCTTCTACTCCTGGGCATCTTGCTGTCCTGAACTAGTCCCTTCCCTCTTTTAGTTATCAAACTCAAGACAATCCTTTGAAATGCAGTTCTTGTATTGAAAGTCAGCAGATTGCAGAACAGTGTGAACTCTAAATGGCCTTTTACAAAAGTTGAGGGAGAAGTATCTATCCATGTAAAGAGTTGAATCCAAATTGAAACTTCCTCTCTGTCCTCCCTTTCAGTGAAGTTTCTAAGTTCACCCGTGAGGTGGCCCTTGCTACTTGAGGACCAGATGATGGGAATGGCAGGGGCCCTCTAACTGGAGGGCTCCAGTCTCTCATCTCCTCCCTTCTGGGTCAAGGACTGGGTTTCACATCTGTTTCCTCTGCCATCCTGAAAATCCTTCCTCCCCTTCCAGAGCAGGCCACTTCTCTCTCTCTCTCTGATGGGGAAACTTCACTAGGCAACCTTGAAACTTCAAAGACCTCTCCCACTTGCACCTCTACCTCATTCTCAGAATCAAACAAATCCATCTGTGCAGTCCATAATGAGCAGAACCGGGACCACGCTCTGCACTTGCCATAATATGTATAGCCTCAGGAAACGGCTCTCCACCTAGAATCATAGAATAAAAGAGTTGGAAGGGGCCATGAAGGCCATCAAGTCCAACCTCCTGCTGTTGCAGGACACTACGTTATGCCATCCCACTCAGGTGGCTGTCCAGGTTCTTTTTGAATGTCTTCAGTGTGGGAGTGCCCACCACCTCTCTAGGCAGCTGGCTCCACTGTCATATTGCTCTGACTGTGAGGAAGCTTTTCCTCATGTCCAGCCTGAAACTGCATTGCCGCAACTTGAATTGATTATTTTGTGTCCTACATTCTGGCATTAGCAAGAAGATCTTGACCTTCCTCTTTGTGACAGCCTTTGAGGTACTTATAGAGGAATACCATGTCCCCCCTCAGTCTTCTCTTCTCAAGGCTGAACATGCCCAGTTCCCTCAGTCTCTCCTCATAGGGCAGTGTTTCCAAACCCTGGATCATTTTTGTCACCCTCCGCTGGACACTTTCTAATTTACCTGCATCTTTTTTAAATCTTGGTGCCCAGAACTTGGTGCCCATGAACTACTACTTCTCATGGAAGTAATACTTTGGAAGTAATATTTCTGTTATTGCATCCCAAAATAGCATTTGCCCTTTTGGCAGCTGCATCGCATTGTTGGCTCATGTTTAGCCTATTGTCCACAATTATTCCAAGATCTTTTTCTTGTTCAGTTCTGTTGAGTCACATATTCCCCATCTTGTTTCAAAGCTTTTGGTTTCTTTTTCTAGGTGGAGGACATGGCACTTGTCCTTATTGAATTTCATCCTGTTGGTTTCAGCGCAGTGTTCAAGTTTATCAAGATCGCCCTGGGTCTTCATTCTGTCTTCTAGCGTGTTTGCTATTTCACCCAGTTTTCCATCATCTGCGAATTTGATTATCTTTCCTTGTACTTCCTCATCTAAATCATTAACAAAGATGTTGAAGAGCACTTGGCCCAGGACTGAACCCTGTGGCACCCCACGAGTTACCTCCATTCAATTTAAGAAGGTGCCATTGATGAGCACTCTTTGTGACGGATTAGCAGCCAATTTGGATCCACCTAATAGTTTTTCCATCTAGTCCAGTTTTTGCTAATTTTCTTACCAGAATGTCATGTCGAAAGCTTTGCTAAAGTCTAAGTAGATTGTGTCTACACTGTTCCCTTTGACCATTTGGGAAGTTACCCCATCAAAAAATGAGATTAAATTAGTCTGACAGGATTTATTTTTGATAAATCCATGCTGGCTTCTATTAATCACTGCATTTTCTTCAAGATGCTTGCAGATGAATTTTTTAATAATTTGCTCCAGAATTTTCCCAGGGATTGATGTCAGACTAACTGGTCTATAGTTTCCAGGTTCATCTTTTCCCCCTTTTTGAAGATAGGGACATTAGCCCTTCTCCAGTCGTCTGGCACTTCTCCTGTTTTCCAAGATTTATCGAAGATGATAGCCAGTGGTTCTGAGAGTTCCTCCGCTAGCTCTTTTATGACTCTGGGATGGAGTTCATTGGGTCCTGGAGATTTGAAACCCCTGGATGTCACAACTGCAGGTTCAGCCGCTCTTCTAATACCAGCTACTCCCAGTGATGCCATCTCCACCGTGCTACATCTGATGTTGGAACGGATCTTAACAGCAGGATCCAGGCCAGTCAGTGGTCATGGCTGTTAGGAAAACCCATAGAAGCTTACTTTACCCCATCAGGTGCCTCTCAGTTTTTTATAACTTTCCTCTGTGGGGACTTCTACTACCTCTGTGGGCATCACCATGTGTAATCAGACATGCCCTTTGCAGAGTAGCTGTTGTGGAGATGACTTATGTCAAGTTACAAAGATGTCCAGGGTCTTGGATTTAGAAATTAAACATAGTTAAGGATCATGTTTTTAATGCATGCCAAGACCAATACAGTGGTGGCAATTCCTATGCATCTTGTTCTACTCCAGATGGCTTACAGAATCAACTCTCCTCCATCAAAGAGACTGAAAACTCTTAATAGTCCAATGAGGCAACTGTGACTTTCTCATATTAGGGTACCCAGTCCTTAATGTCTATAATCATAGAGGCACGTGATTTGTTATTATTTCCACTTATGTTGATCCTATGAACAAATGCCCTTTAAAATGACCCGTTCTTCACTGTCCTGCTCAGTTCTTGTAAACGCGCTGTTGTGGCTTCCTTTGTAGAGTCAGTTCATCTCATATCTGGCCTTCTGCTGCCTTCAACTTTCCCTAGCATGATTGCTTTCCCTAGTCCACACATGGCAAATCACAGTGAAGGGCTTCATCTTCTCCTAATAATTGAGAAGTAAGGAAGTTGGGTGTCTAGGGATTAATAAATTTATCATACTTGAAGGTCTTGATACCAGCACTTTTTCTGGGAGAGGTTTCCTTTTAGAGAGAACTGGTGAGAGACCTATTATCTCACCAGTTTCCTATTGTTCCCTTGTAATGTCAATATCAATATTATTTGCATGCCACCCTGCAGTCAAAGCTCTCTGGATGGTTTACAACAAAACATAAAATCAATATAAAATGCAGACAACTGTAAAAAAAATAATAAAAGTGACCTTTCAGAATTTAAAAACCAAATGTAAAACACACGTAAAAAGCTATGAAAGCTCATACAAAGAGACTGATACAAATATTGCTGAAATGCACTGCACATACTATTTGTACATACAAGTCATGTGGCTGATTTCAGTCCAGAGGTTTCAGCCAGTGCAATAGCCTTCTGAAGATGTGCCTAGCTTCATTCTGCCAGCTTCAGAGAGGAACCTGAAACCAAATTAAGAGCCTTCCTTTTGAAGGTGAGGGTCTGTTCAGTATAAGAACAATCACACCCTGGAAGAGACCTTTCCGAGTCTTCTGCACGCAGTGCTCTTCTTCCTTAGTCTCCTGGGGTAATGCAGGATTGAGAACCATCTGAGCTCTCTGCATGCAGTGCTCTGCATCTGCAGCCAGCTGGGGTAATGCAGGATTTCCAGGCCCTCTGCACTCCACTACCCCAGTCAGTGACTGGCGGTCAGAGAAAGAAGTGTGCTTCAATCAAAAGAGAGAGAGAGAGCACTTCTGCATCCCCACGACACACTTGCTTGCCAGCTCAGCCAACAGGCTGGGAAAAGGGAATTTTGCCACAAACACTGTCCCTTGTTCCTGCCAGCCTGCCGCTGTGGCTGCTGAAAGGACTAGCAGGCCCTATACTAAAATAATTGCCTTCACAGAAGCGGACTGTTTGTGTGAACAGCAGCACCCCTTCCCAGGGCTGCTGTGACCTCCTTTGCAAGAAACTCGCCCATTGGGGTCAGCCAGCAGGAGGCACTGTTCCTGCATGAGCCCACAGTGAGATGTTAAGTGTGGACCATCCAGGTAAGCTCGCACCTCTCCTACTTGTTGATGTGGAATGCCTCCCTTCAGAGCCCCTAACCAGACCAACAGCCTAGTGGCCATTTTTACAAAGATGTCCTTTCATTCACATTGTAGGAGGTGCTTTGTTGACGGCCTTTGCCTCCCTGCCAGCCCAGCCTCCCACCACTTCTGCCCACATCTACTTCAGCCAGCAGCCCAGAAAAGGTTGTTCAGTGTACATCGAGTGCTAATTCTAATTTCCAGAAGTTGAAGCATTAGCGTGCCAGGTCCTACCACTAGGTATCTCAAACTTGTAAACTGAGCTCAGGGTTGGTACAACCTGAATTATCTTATTACATCAAATCAATTAACTGTGCTAGATCTTTCCCCATTAGACATGAAAGAGGCAGGGAACTGTTTGGTCAGGGAACCAAGGGTTCCCAAATATTTCCTCTGGAATGTACTGGATGTCTTCCCCCAGAAACAGAAGAGGTTTTGGGAGTCTGTGCTGTGACAGGGGTGTTCTCCTTTAACTGAAGGGAGGGTTTAACCCCCCCCCCCAAGTTGCTTGACAAAGAGAAGCAGATTGTTTCTGTTCAAGAAGCTGTTTCTCTCTCCTAAGCTCTGAAACCTACAAATGTATTTCCTAGCATAACCACAAAAAGAAAGCCAGCCAGCCTGTTAGCTTTAAGCTGCACTGCTTAAAAATAAGCACCTACCTCAGTGATGAAGACTTCAAAGGCTCCCCTAGTGGCTGCCCTGTAGTTTCACTGGTTTCAGAATTGTAGGAAATGATAAATGAACTGACCATGCCAGTCTCATGAGGCCTCATTCTTAGCAAGTGATGTGGGGTGGAACTTCTGGGGGAAATTTTTCAGTGCTTTAATTAGTAACGACGAATCAATGTCAGTTGCAAATACAATGTTAGGCAAGCTGAGCACTTTCAAAGTTGAAATCAAGATTTTGCAGGTGATTATTCCTAGGAAATATGTGAAAAAATTAAAGTACACATGTCTTAGTGGGAAATGAATGATTAAGCAATGGCTGAATGCCCCTCAAGAACTCTAGCAAAAGAAAGTTGAAATCCATTGAGTGGTTGTCAGAATACCATGCATGGTTCTTCCGGTTGCTTAAATTAGTGCAGCCTTCCCCACCAAGTGTCCTCCAGACGTATTGGACTATAACCCTCAACACGTCCTGTCAGCCAAGCTCAATGAGAGGTGCTGTGAGTTGTAGTCCAACATATCTGGAAGGCATCTGGATGGCGAAGGTTTGAACTCACATATCAGCATTTTCAGTACCTTTGTTTCTTTCTTATAGTCAATGAATGTTCTTGCCATTACAGTTTTACATATATTTCAGTGTCTAGTTTATAGCATTTAAATCACAGTAAGTGTGCTTTAATTTTTTTTCCTCATATATTCCAGAACAAGCACATGTGGTGTATTGGGACAGAAAACTAACATAGAGTACTTTTTTAGTTTTATTAGTTTTACTTATGTTTGGGGGGGAAATGCTTAATTAAATCACTCTGTAGTGCAAACTGAAAACTTTCCAGCGTCTAGGCTGCCATGTGAATTGGCTAATTTGTAGTGGAAAATTTTCCAGAACCTTTTCTAGTTCATTATTTTCCAGGGACTCTCATCAGTGGTCTTAGTCAGTAAGACATTGGTCACCCCCCCCCCCCCCCACCCTTACCAGGGTTTTCAGGCACAAGAAACTCCTGGAATGTACACTTTTTAAAGTTTATGTAAATTACTTGCTTTACCTCACAGCCCTTGCTAATTGTTACAGTCTTAAGCACTGCACCTTTTTTTCTGCCTGCACCTTAGCAGCAGTTGATCAGACTCTGCATAAACGGAGTATATGCTTTAAATCTAAGGACCTGTTTGTTTTTACTCTTTTTCTTAGGCATTCTTAGAATCAAAGGACAAGCAGAAGTTTGTTCCTTAATTTCCTGAATTTCCCTAAAATAAGGGAGGAAACCAACCAAACCCCGTGTCCCTTTAAAAAGCAGTTTAAGCACTGATGTCTAAACCACCAGATACAGTGTTTCATATCTGCTATATACTAGAAGGCAAAACACCGAATGTTTTGCTGGTAAGACATATTTCCTTGGATGTTAAAATACTGGGGAAATACTACTCCTGGAAGAATTATTTTCTTCATTTGAAAAGTAATGAAAATTCTGAAGGCAACTGTGGAGGCTTAGCAGGGGAATTCTCTAGCTTCTGTAGATCTCACAGAATCATATAGACATGCTCCTCTTCAGAAGTGCTACAGATATCCAGATATGCTCATGAAATAGTAATTCAAGGCTTTTCCATTCTTACTCTGTTTTGCTTTGAGTTTCCTTTTGATTTCTAAACTTGAGGGCTTCTTGAGTGAACTCTGCATATACAGATGGTTCACATTAAACTCTGTTTACCTAGCCATTTTAACTTTTAATTTGAACAAGGACTTGGAAAGATCCAAATGACTATGCAATGTGGTGTTCATGAGTATTCTGGTAAACCATGGCAACATCTGTTGGGTTCCAATAAATTACCTTGAGATTTCAGGACTGAAACCTATATACTGTCAACCCAATAGCCCTAAGTACTGCCATGCACCTTCCCACCATTCCCTTTTCTGATGAGAACTCTGTGCAAAGCCACAAGGAGAAGGCCCAGGTCCTAGTGGTGCCCCCATTTTGGCCATGATGTCTTTGTCTCTTGGACCTCATAGATCTGCTCTCCTTGGAAAAATCCTTTGCTATGCCTAAAGTAGTACATAAGTGTTTGGGTCCTTCACAATCAGGAGCTACTAGGTCATTTGAATTAAAATAATGTTCTGTAGATTCTATTAATTATGTGCTTCTCCCATTTCTTTGCAGGTATCTCCCTGTCTGGGTGTGCTCTCATGGCTGTTGTTTGTCAATGACACGGATGTTTTAGCTGATGCATGTTGGGCGCTCTCATACTTGTCTGATGGACCCAATGATAAAATCCAGGCTGTGATTGATGCAGGAGTTTGCAGGAGGCTTGTGGAGTTGCTAATGTAAGGACCTTAGATCAAAGCCTCAGTTTCAGAATAGCACTAGGCTTTGTAGCAGGGCTGGGCAGCTTGTGACCCTCCAGGTGTTTTGGCTGATAACTCCTGTCAGCATAACCAGTGTGAGGAATGATTGGCATTATAGGCCAAACCATATGGAGGGCCACAAGTTGGCCACCCTTGCTTTTTAATGTCTGCTTTTCTCTTGGACAGTGGCAAAAATGCTAAGTGTCCTTCATCAAGATTGTCCAGCTCCCATATTTCCTGCCCAGTGATCATGTCACCTGGGGTTGATGGCTGTTGCACTCCAAAACATCTAGACAGCACCAGGTTGCCTTCAGTGACTTAAGAGTGTATTTCAGACAGAGACCTTGCTTTGGGTTTGGGGTGCTGGCATAAACCTATGACTTTGTAGTAAGTAGTTCCTTGTGGCCAGCATTATGATCAGTGGGCCACATGTGGCATAAATTCATGCCCAGTCTTTCACTACTAGCTCTGAAAGTGTGTCATTGAGAATTCAGTTCATAATCACTCTCAGACTTTTCAAAACTGAAGAACAGCCATGCTAAGTGCTGCTGCTGTGTCTGTCACAGAAGTCACCCCTTTGTCATTCTTCAGCAGAGAGATGAGGACAAGATAATCTTATGTCAGCATCTCCCACTCCAAAATGTCTAATGCAAACCCGTATCAGAAAGCATGTTATGAATGGTTTGAAACAACTACTTCAGACAACTAATCTATGAAATTTTTATTCTGCCCCTTCTTCTAGGGTATAGGGTTATGAGGATGGTTCCCACACACACACACACACACACACACTTATTATGTAAAGGACTTTTTATTGCAAATTTGTCAGGTTGTACTTGCTCATAATTGTACTGCTTTGTCCTTAGTATAAGCAAGGGAGATACACCTAGGAAAAAATAGTTCCATATTTTATAGGCTCAGTTGTGCACTTAGGCAAAATGGCAATTCGTGCCAAAATTCAGGAAATGGAATATAATTTACTGTACAAATGGCAACAAACACCAATCAAGCTGCACAGTATTAATAAACAGCTTCCAGCTTTTTTGAATATAATATGGCATGTTCTATATGTATAATGGGAATATCCCATGGCATAGTGGTCTTGGGAGCTGTGGACAAATTTAGTATTGTGCTTAACAGAAAAATATTTCAGCTACCGCTGGAATTTTTTTCATTGTTATTCCATATTATGTTCAAGCTGGAAATACTTGGTCCTGCTTGGACCCTTGAAGAACCTTCCAGATCAAAAAACTGAGTCTGAATCAGGGTGTGTGCATACTAAAGTAAATTAAAGTAATTTTTCCCTCTTAGGCACAATGACTACAAAGTGGTATCTCCCGCCTTGCGAGCAGTTGGGAATATTGTTACAGGGGATGACGTCCAAACCCAGGTATTAATTTTGCTTTTAAGTAATTGACTAGAAGCCTGTTGTCTTTTAAAAGACCTCATGTCTGTGCGTGCTGCTTGTTCTAGCTCTCCGGGATACAGCTAGTTCTTTGTGAGTTATATAATTATGCATGGAATGCTCTAATTCAGTGTTTCTTGGACAATTTTGAAGTGGGATCTACCTATACACTTGCACACCCTTTGGGGTCCTAGATTTCTAGGTGTATCTTTCCTTTTCACCCATTCCTGTCCACTGACTCCCAAGATGTCGATGTTCAGTCTTGTTGTCTCATGTTTGACCACATCCAACTTACCTTGATTCATAGATCTTACATTCCAGGTTCCTATGCAGTATTGCTCTTTATAGCATCGGACTTTCAACACCAGATACATCCACAACTGAGTGTCCTTTCGACTTTGACCCTGTTGCTTCATTCTTTCTGGTGCTACTAATACTAGCCCTCTGCTCTTCCCCAGTAGCACATTGGACACCTTCCAACCTGAGCGGCTCATCTTCCAATGTCATATCTTTTTGATTCTGTCCATGGGGTTTTCATGACAAGGACACGGGAGTGGGTTGCCATTTCCCTCTCCAGTGGATCACCTTTTGTCAGAGGTCTCTGCTATGACCTGTCTGTCTTGAGTGCCCCCGCACTGCATAGCTCATAACCTCATTACGTAAGCCCCTTCGCCACGGCAAGGCAATGACCGATGAAGGGGACCCCAATATAGGCTATTGTTATTTTTATATGTGTTTTAATTTGGTTTTTAATGTTGTATGATAATCTTGTTATGGTGTTTTTAATGTTGCTTGTATTGTTAATATTGTATTTGTATGTGTTGTAAACTGCCCAGAGAGCTCTGGCGATTGAGTAATATAGAAAATGAATAACAACAATTGATCTAAGAATATATACCCCACTTGAAAATAAGGCTAACATGGAGGGCACCTCTCCTCACAGTGTGTGTGCTACTCAGCCTGTGACTATCTTGGCTTCACTATATTGTTCCTACTGTTGACTTAGAAGGCTTGTATGCCTCCTTTCCTGCCCCTTGCAGTCATTGCTCATGTTGTTCCTTTCTCCCTGTCCCTCAAACTTTTTGTCTAGGTAGGCCAGCTGCTACCTTACATTCCCTTTTTCTCCTTAAAACTTTCTGGTTTGTTCCTAATGTCTTCTCTTAGTTTTAGATCAGCGAAATCTCTTAACTGTACTTTTTATGAAGCTTATCTTTGTGTTTCTAGTGGTAATGTTCTTCTTTTCTTGTCTTTCTAAGATAAGTATTCTGGAGATTTGAGATCTGTATGTAGCCTAAGAATCTCTTGATTTTTTCAGGTTATACTGAATTGTTCAGCACTGCAAAGTTTATTACACTTGCTAAGTAGTCCTAAAGAATCAATTAAAAAAGAAGCATGTTGGACAATATCAAATATCACAGCTGGAAACCGAGCCCAGATCCAGGTAATCAGTGCAAAGATTCGTTTATCAGTATAAAATCAGATCCTAGGCCTGTAGTAGCTGTGTATGAGGTTTAGGCAGAAGAATGTAACTATTACTTTTCAACAGACTGTGTAAAAATGAGACCTAAACTGAGAAGCTTCCCTTTAACAAGAAATTATGCAGTTCAGACGTAGACACTCAACAGAACCAAATCTTTCATGATTAGAATGGCCTGTGTCATTCTTTTTTGCTGGATTTGACATGATAGCTTTTCACTCTAGACATAGATATGAATAATGGCATTTGAATATGATAGTTATATGTCAAATTTGTGTATTGAAATTAATTCTAGGAAGGAAACATTAGGCTATCAACCTTACACACTTACCGGGGAGTTCCATGAGACTTACTTCTGAGTATGTGCATAGGATTGCATTATTAAGCAAGAAATCATGTATTTTAATTGTAATATTAAAGCTCTTTTGGTTTTTCAGACTGTCATAGATGCCAACATTTTCCCAGCTCTAATAAATATTTTACAAACTGCTGAGTTTCGGACAAGAAAAGAAGCGGCTTGGGCTATCACTAATGCAACTTCTGGTGGCTCTGCTGAGCAAATCAAGTAAGTAGCAGGAAAGTGCTCAAAACAGATTGATTTTAACAGTCATGTTGGGGCTCTCAAACAAAGATCCTTCAAGGGGAAAGGGTTGTTTTGAAATCTGGTGCCCCGATACTTCTGCCCCCTTCCTCCAGGTTATACCTCCTCTGTGCATGCTATTCATTAAGGTCTACATTTATCTGGTCGATTGGAATCTTCTAACAGTTCGATTTCTTGAAAATAGTTGGTCAGATTCCTTGTACCCCTGATGAAACACTAACCACAAATGAATGGCCCAATGTCCCTCTTTAAAATATTCACTTCTTAACATACATCTAACACGTCTTGTCTTGCCTTTTTCATTGTAACTTTCAAAGCTGTTTGACCTTTAAAAAGGTGATGCTATTTTGTCAAGCTGAGTCCTCTGCTTGTCTTGCTTTTCAATTTCATTCTGCTTTTCAGGTACCTGGTAGAACTTGGCTGCATCAAACCACTCTGTGACCTCCTTACAGTGATGGACTCAAAGATTGTGCAGGTAGCACTTAATGGGCTGGAAAATATCCTGAGACTTGGCGAGCAAGAAGCCAGACGAAGCGGCACTGGCATTAACCCTTACTGTGCACTCATTGAAGAAGCCTATGGTAAGGGTGACGGGTGATAACCATTCTAGAAAATTGAGTAGGTTTGTTTTGCTTTTATGTTCCACTGCTCATTATAATTCCAAAGTACGGTGAAGCAAAATGGTTCTCTATGAGTATATGTGGAAGCAACTTATTATAAATGTCCTTGCACTAATTTTACTTCAACTAGTGGTCAGAGTATCTTCCAATCACATTTGCTAGGGCTGTAACATTGAGGGGTGTGAAGTGTATTTTATTTTAATGTTTCTGTACTTTGCATTACCTAAGTGACACTTTCAGGGTCTTAGAAAATGAAAGGTAAGAAAAGGGCCGGTTTGAGGAACAGGGCAGCTCTAGCAGCAGTGGGGAAAATGGACACGATCCAGTGTGACTGCAGGACTTTCCCCATCTCTTCTCCTCCGGCAGCTCCCTGTGCCCCAGAGAGCCTGCTCTGAAGGATCCTCTCAACACTCTGAACCCAATTTTGAGGGCACAGAGGAGGCTGGAGAGGAAAGGGAGAATTTTCACCGCACTGATAGAAGTGGATCCAGCAATAGAAAAACTTCAATGGATTGCACGCTTTGGAATGTTAGGTTGAATAGACCTAGAGTTCTGAAAGATGGTGCCACAGTTCAGATGGTTTAGCTTCTCTCCCTCCGATTCAGAAAAAGCTGAATCATGCAGGGTGTCTCTTCCTGTTCTAGATATGAGGGATGTTGTTTGTTTTCCCTGCAGGCCTGGATAAGATTGAGTTCCTGCAGAGCCATGAGAATCAAGAAATCTACCAGAAGGCCTTCGATCTGATTGAGCATTACTTTGGGACAGAAGAGGAGGACAGCAGTATTGCTCCACAAGTAGATCTTGGCCAACAACAGTACATCTTTCAGCAGTGTGAGGCTCCCATGGAAGGCTTCCAGCTCTGAGGTGCTCCTGTGTGCTGTGTTGCTCTGCCCAGCCAGTCCTAATGTAGAGCTCCGAGTTGGTCCTGTTTTCCATAAATCTGTGTGAGCTCATTTGTTGCTTTGCGCACACACTTCCTTAAACACAACTGGAAAACATTTGGCTCTTAGTTGTAGGATGCCACTTTGGTAAGGGCTTACCATAACTGTTGTGCCCATCTCTCCGGAGCTGGAGCGCCTCTATAAAAGTGTCAGTTTTTCCCAATGAAGTATACACTGAAGTGGTATAACCCTAGATTCTAAAAACAAGGGTGGAGTTTCTGTGTGTGTGTGTGTATTGCAGTGCTCTTGCTGTCCACAGGGAGGCTTTGAGAGACCCTTTCTGCGCGGCTCCTTTGGGTGCCTGCCTCATTCAGTGATTTAAGAGAATTATTTAATGCTCACACAGAATATGAATGGTAGTGATTTTGTGTGTGGCAGCCTCAGTTCCAGTTTATATATATAAATATATACATATGATACTTACAGATATTGGAATGAGCTCTTTGTTCCCTGCACTTATAGCTGCCAATGAATAAGCTTCTCCAGGTTCTAACAACACTGAAATATTGTCAGCAAGGTGACATCTATGCTGCTATTTTGACTGCATGGGATTTGGAGTTCTTTTCTATCTGCACAAGGAATGGGGAACTGCCCATCTCTCTGTACATTCCTAGCAGCACAGCCAGTACTCTCGTGAAGATGCCCTAAATTGTGCCAGGGATAGAGGAACTTCACTGCTCATCTACCACAGCATAAATTGGCTTTCTCTGTGTTCAAACTGAACTTTCCTTTCATGTTTTGAAATTGGCCCTCATTAACATCATTACTGCTGGAAATCTCTGCTTGAGTTTTTGTACTGCTTGGTCAAACAGGGCTCGGTCAAATTTTTGTTGTGCATTCTTAATATGCTAAACTATTGATGCAAGGAAGTTATGAGTTCCCTGGGATCCATCTCTCTCATGAACTGTAGCTTCTAAGACAGGGCACAAAGAATACTTGGGCTTTAGCAGCTTCATTACATGCCAACAAATCTGCCTAATGGAATCTAACCCTCTCAAGTGAGGTCTGTATTTCACAGCTACACTACAAGCACTTCAGTTGTGAAATCATCTGCCTAACTTCAGTTTGCACCTCTCATTTAGTCCTCACTACAAACAGCTGATCTCTGATGAAACAGCACTTCAACTTCCTGCAACAGCCTAGTGTGTCACGGCAGTTTCCATGTATTTGTAGAATGCACCAAGGTTGTGGCTCTCCAGATTGCTTGGACTGAAGGCATTGGATATGAATGCCTTGATCATCATCTTGCATTCCAATGCCAGCTGACTGTGGCAGCACAGTATTAATTTAACATATCAGCAGTGTTGTTTTTCTGTGAATGCTCAGATATTCTAGGGGGCTTGCACCCTCTCCCAAATTAGGTAGTGGCTTAAGTCACTGTGACCTTAAGAAAACAAATGTTCATCCATAATTCTGTTATCAGAATTGCCCGATGGAGCATTCATGTTACAATCAACAGAAGATAACTAAAATCAACCACAAAAAATCTACTTTGTCAAACTGTTAAGAGGTCTTCTCTCATCAAAGTTTTGTGAGATTCTCTCATGGAAGCCCTCAGTTACCCCTTTGATCCATTATCCAGCAGCCTCTACTTTCAAGTTACTTTAATGTAGTGTTCTGTTACACTGAAATAACATTTTAGGTCACCATTGTCAACTTCTCTTGGGCTTCTTTTGTTTTAGGACTTTAAGGTCTAACCTGAAATGGTGGGGAATCTGTTTTGCAATAAATTAATCTCCAATTATGTTTGTTGTTCGTGGGGAGGGTCCTTTATGGGGAAAAGAATCCATGGCTCACTTTGATATGCCTCTGTCACATAAGCAAGTCTGGCAACAAACGATACATGTTGTCTATGTGAGCCTTAACTGGCTGGGATTGCCTTGAGAAGTCAGTGAACTGCTTTGTGCAAAATGTTGGTTTATTTAACCCATTGGTTTTTGAATTCTGGGTTACGCTATGTGAACCTGGCCTGACTGACCATAGTTTATTAGCCACAAAAAATCCAGGGAGGCAACCCATGGTTTGTTACTGGTTGTTACTCATAAGTTGTTCTGCCAGGCTATAAAAGCAGTGAGCAAGAGCGGTCAAAAAGCAGCTCTGCATGCTTTATTGACCACTGCAAAAGCATTTGGGATATAGAAGGGGAGCAGGCAAAGGAGGAGGGAAACAAACTACCCCGGAACTGAGAAAACAATGGTTTATTCTACCATTGGGTGGACAAACCTTGGATAGGGCAAAAAACCATGGGTTAGCATTATGAACAAGCCGGGTCCCTGTTTATTAAACCTGTTTCAAGAAAAAATGGCACCACAGCTACACATGTAAGGAAGACACAGGTACAAGCAAGGAAGCAAACAGTGTGCAAGAAAGATAAATTGGGGCAAGGAACTGGGGTTTACAAAACTTTTTGTGGGCGAAAGTGCATTGCAACCCATTTTTAAAAAAAAAAATTAGATGGGTAATCTTTAAAAATAACAATGTTGCCTTTATGTCCCATAGCTAATAATCATGTTTGTTTCTTAAAGGGTGGTAGAAGCACTGATGAATAGCAATCTTGTTTCAGCTTCCAGATTTTTTTGTGGCTGGGTTTTTTAAAATGTAAATTACCAATGACATGTCATTTCTATAAGGTTTGTTTTAAATCATGTACTTTATTTGATAGGTTTTGGGTTGGGGGGAAGCTACGTGTTTTGTAAGCCAACTTCAGTAAAGCGTATGTGTGATACTGAAATATCACACATACACCAATACTGATAGTGTGTATATGTGTATGCATACCTAGAGTACATATGCATGTACACACTCCTCTAGTGTGTTTGCTAATGTGTATGTATATATGTATATTTACACACATCCTTTATCTTTCTCACACTGAAAGTTTTTCTTCCAAGCTAGTGAGAATGTGGTGCATTGGTGTTCCTGCTAGGAAATGACAATTCTCTCTTTAAAGGGGTGAATTAAACCATAAATACATTCAATGAAATGGGAGTGGTGTTTTTTTTTTAAGATGAAGCATCTGTAATGCTTTTTACTGAAGGAGCAGCAAAGCAAAATGGCCTGAGCTGTATTCTTGAAAAAATCACCAGCACTTGAAAAATGTCATCAGAACCCTTAAAAGGCATTTCCAGATATGTACCAATGGACATTTTTTTTGCTCTATACATTTTTAACTAGGCATCTATTTTGGGTAAGAACACCCCATTTTGTGTTGGAGAGGGGAAAAAATGAGCCTGAGGCAGCTGGTGCTTTCTGTCTTTACCAGCCAACAGCAGGGTAAACTGAATGTCCCTGTCAAAGAAGGCCCTCTGTCCATCCACATGTGATCTGAAGGATGCTCAAAGCTGCTGCATTGTTCTCCTAAAATCAGTGCGCAGGTTAGTTTTCCTGATCGGTTCTGTTCCTCTGCCGGTGCCAACAGTGGGGCCACAAATCCTTGGTCATAACTAAAGTTTCTATGGTAGCATACAATGACTTCTGCTGGGTTGACCTGTGGGCAGACCACATAAGACTAGGTGATAGTGGGAGAAAAAATAGGTTAAAATGCCTTCTGAAATGCAGGTGGTTTAGTTCTAGTACAGGGCAGCTACATACAGCTGTATTTACTTTTGAGAAAAAAGTGTCCCTTGTCTCAGAAACTTCCATTAGTAGGAGGACTCCATGACAGTGTCCTTGACTGCATACCTTTATTTTGGTCCATGCTGACCAGCCAAAAAAAAAAAACCTGGCCTTGAAGAGGCAATGCTGCTGAAGTTAAACTTTTATCTTCTCTCCTAAACAATTTAATGCTATTCAATTTATTGCTGGGAGGGTGTTCCCACACTAAAAACAATCCCATGGACAGCTATGCTTCAAAGATGAATTGGCTCATTTCTGAAAATACTTTCAGAGTCATTCAGAGGAATACAACCTTACACACAGATCTAAGTACTGCTCTTTTCTCCTTTATGTGGCCTGGAAGTTGTGGCCACATCCTGCAAGTTGCAACCAGATCTCAACAGCTGGCTTCCTTTCCATCTAGTCTTCTTTGCACTGGCTTTTGATGGTCCACCATGGTGGCCATTATAAGTGAATGAAAGTAGTTAGTGTGAGTCTTGGTTCTAACAGAATGGCTGTCAAATGCTATAAAAGCATAAGCCACTAAACAATTAAGTAATTTAAAAAGTGATGCCACCCTTTTATCCTAATAAAATGTTTAGGGCTGTTTTTTTTCTTTCAAGAATGGCTAAACTTTAGCCGCTAAAGAAATATCAAAGCTCAAAGAAATACCACATATTAGACTCTAGCTCCATAGGATGGAGGTGCTGTCAAACACTTAAACTAATTCCCTTCTAGATGGCCATTGTCCTTGTGACTATACTACGAACAAACTGAAGAAATTTGCTTCTTTGAAGCAGCACTAAGCCAACTTTTTGGTACTTCATCTCTCAGTTTGTGTGTAAGTTACTGAAGTGACTAGGCTAGGTCTCCTGAAAACTTTCAGGACAAGGCCCAACTCCACAGCTGTGTAGATTATAGAAAGGAGGCACACCAAATACCAGATTCAGTGAGCTTTTAAAAGTATACTTGGAGCTTTAAAAAGAGTAACTCTCCAAATAATTCAACTTTTTCATAACCCTAAGAAACATACAGCAGTATCTCTGCAATAAGCTGGTGTAATCACTCAGCAGGGGGCTGCCAGTGATAGGACCTGGCACTAATTGCAGTAAGGATACATCCAGGAACAGTCTGGCTGTTAGACAGCATTGTGTAGCTTTAATTCCACCTTTTGGTTAACTGCCAACTTAGGTAAATCTTGCAAATGAGACGTTAGCTTGTTCTATAAACTTAGCAAATATATATTCTATGTTTAACTTCTCAACTAGAGTTTAACTTTTTTTCTTTACCATGTGGAAAACACTTCATAACTACAACCCTCTAAATTATTTGAAATTGAAGTCCAGTGAATAAACAAAAACTATTCTGGGGAAAAAATACTTGCAGTGCTCCTACTGTAGAAATGTGTGTATAATCAGTTCATTTCTTTAAAAATCCATTATGACATACCCCTCTCCAATATCAGGAAAGACTGCATTGTTTTGCTGTCTAAGCACTTGGTTTGCACTGCAGCTCAATCCATCATTTCTTGAACAGGGAAAGGTACCTGAGATAATCAAGATCAGCAGTAAGGCCATCAGGGAGGTATCACTGGAATAGGTGGCCCCAATGATTATAGATGAACATGCAAAAAAGCACAGCACATGGATAAAAAGCAGTAGTGGACATAGATTCTTTTACTGCTGCTTTAAAAACCATGCCAGCACATCTAGATCAAAGTGTGGACGTGCAGACACTTGTACCACAAGCTTGTTTTTTAAAATCCCCACAAAATTTTCAAGATGAATTTCTAACACCTTATGGTAAGCCTGTCTGTCACATATGTGATGTATGGCATCTTCATGAAGAAAGCTTGAAGGATTGCTACAAAATAATGTACCCTTTTCTGAAAGGTATACAGAAATAGGGAAAAGTATTTAATCCATTCCTCAAATTGCTCCTCTGTAACTGAAGCGATATACTTCATTTTGTGTCTTCTCCTCTAAACAGTTTTCCTATGGCTTGGCAGAGGTACTCTGTGGCATTTCCTCTCTCCAGCGAGCCTTTTTCTCGAAGTTCAGGCTTGTTAAGGATTCATGCCGTCTAGCAGCCTGCAGCAGAATAATAAGGGTGTAGAATAAGAGATCACAGAAGTTTTCATCTGCTGTAACCATGTCATGGAATATTTCAATGAAACACTGAAATAGGGGGCTGGCTCACTCAATTGCAGCAAAACAAACAAGCCACAGTTGATTATTTCTCCTACCACAAGCACTAGTTGGATGTCCCAAATTTTTACTCACTGGTATGACTTGGTGGGGACAGCAACCCTCAAATAACCTGACAATAGCCCATGGATTCTTTTGAGGGTTGCTGTCTCTTCAAACAAGTTCAGATACATGGCAAGCTCTGCCAGTGAGGACAGCAAGAAAATCTGGACAGCACAAGCAGCAGGGTTAACAAGCCACCGTGGCTTACTAATAACACTGCAATCATATGAACTAGGTCACACTTCAGCTTCATAAACACCTCTGTGGGGAAAATGCAGTATTAATAGCAACAGCAACAACCATTTATATAGTATTTTTGAGTGTTCCAAGAGAGAATTTCCCCCCTATAACTACTGATTAACGTAACACACTGAATCTTAAAGCAGAAATCTCATCTTTTTGGACTTTGTGCCCAATTCTCTTGTCTCCCCCAGTTGACTATTCTATTCCCAGCTTACTTTAGTAGGAATGTAAGCACCCTCCTTTCCTCTCTCCCCTATCACCAGCTTGTTAGCAATGGCAATGATAAGCCCCCAAATTCAAACGTTTATGGTCATTCTGTGCAAGATGGGAAGAGCCACTGAAGATGCTCCTCTGCACCCTCCCACACTGCATTTTCACTAGCAACAGTGTCAGTCTCCTCCTGGACTCTCCCCAGTTGCTTTCCTGGCCAGGGAGAGGAGGTTCTTTCCATGCTAGCTGTAAAGGAGGGTAATCAGAGCTCTGAGTTCTCAGTTTCAAGGCTGGATTCCTATCTCTCAGACCTTGGATCTGGGAATACAACATATCCTATAGGTCATAAGACTGCTCCCTTATTTTTCCCCGGAACACTGTTGCCGTAGTCCATTACCTCACTTGTTCCCACCCTGTTAGCCCTTTTACACTTACCTGTTTCCCTGAAACAACCGCAGCAAAGCAGCCCAAAAGTGTCAAGGCAATCATTATGTAGGCAACCCTCACACGCATCTTACTCCTTGCTGCATTTAACATATCAGGCCTGTAAAGAATAAACATAAAAGATGCCAGATCTATAGTGCTTTGTCAAATAGTGACATATTTAAAAATGCTGCAATTTAAAGTCAAAGAAGGACTTGCACAAGTTATGTGTTCCTGATCATCAGTACTGAAAACAGGTAAACCAGAATTGGCTCTATGGAACCCACTGCCACAGTTTTTAATGAAGTTCCCAATTAGACTGTTATCAGAAAATGCTGCCTCAATTAGAAAATATTGGACTGCTGCTAACAAAACAAACCTTCTACAGTGCCTTGCAAAAGTATTCAACCACCTTTGATTTTTCCACATTTTGTTGAGTTACAACCTGGAGCTGAAATTGATTTAATTGGCACTGTCACTACTTGACTAAAGTTTAGCATGTTGTCCACAACTCCTCCAAGGTCTTTATGTTTTTCAGAATAATGCACACTGTAGAGACTTCTTTCTCATTAGAAGTCATTGCCCATATATATTTGGTTCTTCTAAATCTGTCATAATTGCATGTTTATGTGCCTTTTTAAATTATACTCCTATGATGTGGAGGTCAACAACCACAAAACTAGACTTCAAAGAATTGACCTGCACCTCCAAATACACTCCAAGACTGAAAAGATAACTACCACCACATATTATTTAATATAACCTGCCCTTTTTTCTTACAAAGAACTCAAAGCAGATCACATCATTTTCCTCCTCCTCCTCCTGCTCTCAATCTTATGCCCACAACAACCCTGTGATGTAGGTTGTGCTAAGTGTCTGTGACTGGCCCAAAGTCACCCAGCTGGCTCCCTGGCTGAGTGGTAACTAGAACCCAACCCTCCTGGCCCTGTCCCATGCTCTTAACCACACCACCACACTGGCATATCATTCAACGGACGTGGAGAACTTACTGCTCTTGCTGCATTTGAATGTATATCCTATAGTTGTCTTTTCATTCAGGTGCTTATTTAGATATAATTACCACACATATGAATGTGTATGTTTGAATCAGAAGTGTTGAAAATTGGTTTCTTTTACCTTTTTTTGTACTAACTGTCGAGATATGCTGGTACATCACGTTCTTTCCTTTTTTCTTTTCTTCCTTGTTACTGTTCCCCCATTATGTTTTTGTTATCTCAAATATGTTTTTTGATGCTGAATGGCCACAGGTTCCCCACTTCTGCTTTAATACCATCTAAGACAGTGGTGATTATATGTCATGACTACAGATTCCATAAGTTTAGGTCTCAATCCCCTCTCTATGTTCTTCAGTGTTCCCAAGGTGAGGTAAGAAATGGATAAGCATCTGTCTCCTCATCATTTATGGCCAATAAGCCCCTTTTATGTCCCACCCTTTATTATCTTATTCTGAAAAAAAAAAAATCCCAGCTTTTTCTCATGATGAAGATGCTCTAGCTTCCAGTCTTCTCAAGTTGCATGGCATCAGTTTTGAGGAGGAACAAGAATCAGGTCCTGCCTAAAAATCCCAGTGGCTGAAGAGGGCACACCAGTCCCAGCTAGATTTTGTGGCTGAACGTCCTGATTCACAAACTGACTTGCAGGTGTACAAATGTATAACAACAGACACAGGAATACAGGTCACCTTTACCAGAGGTGTGGGCATTGCACAGCAGGTACATGCACGAAGTGTCTCAACAGAAGAAACAGCTACAGCTACATCTGGAAGTGAAAGCTTGAAGTCCAGTCCAGCATAACAGATTTTATCTTTAACACCCATGTGCATGTACTACAGAAGGGAAATGTGGCTTGGTTAACATACTAACCCCCTACAAGTGGACTCACATACTAGTTCTGAAGTTCCTACAGCAGAGATAAAAGGAAGAATGTTCCACCTAAGGAGTTTCAAAAATGACAAGAGAAGGGATTTTGAAAATTTTGCATAGAAGTGCTTTGGGAGCAGAAATTGATACATTTAAGTCAAAGAAAGGAGAAGATACGAGCATGTGGTTGTAATTACATGGACTGCTTCATCCATTATCATCCTGTTTAATTGAAAAATAAGGTTTTCAAGTCTTCCAATTTTGGGTTGCAAACCTAAACTGAAGCAAAAAAAAAAATCATCTGAGGCTTGAACACTAAATTATCAAGAGTCAGCTAGTGGCTGACATATCCAGATACAATTAGACATGATGTCTTGCTACTCACAGCAAGGACTGGACTTACCCAGTATGAAGGATCCTGGGGCCACCACAATTCGGTTCAAAAATTGAGAACCTTGACATAGGGCTTTTCTTTACTATTCTGAAGAAAATATTAATCACTTAGACAAGAAGATGGGGAAAAGAGATAATGGGAATGGACTAGCTAAAAAATTACCTAATACATTTTATAAAAGGTAAGTAAACCTTTTAAAACTTTAAGAGCTTAAAGTGCCCCAATACGTCAGACTCCTTTGACTGTCAACATATACACAGTCACACTCTGCTACAAAACACACACACACAGAGGAACTCACAGAGTGTGTTATGTCTGGTGCCTAGATATGGGAACAATAGTGTGAACTTTTAAGGGCGAAAAGAAAACTTGCAGAGGTTTCTTGCTACTTAAGTGAGTTAAAGCAAGCTGGCTGTACACAGCAAAAACTGTACAGAGGAGGGTAATTAGCCAGTAGTAGGTAAAAGAAAAAATAGTACAGGAAGTATCCAGGTTCCACCTGGACATCTGGTAGATAGGAACATGGTCAGGATTAGGCCATATTTCCTGCTAAAGCTCTGAACGCTATGCAGGTCACCTGGCTGGGCAGTATTTGCATGTTTCTAGGGTTCCATGGGAGGTGCTCCCTTTAAACTATGAATGAAACAATTATTCTTCTCAGCAACCATCCAGGGCATTACTGTTGCTTCCAGCAACCTCCATGTCTGTGCTCTGCTGCTTCTTCCAGGACAAAATGGATTGCTGAACCAAGGTGTCAGAGTAATGTCAGTGAAAATACAAAGACTATTATACTAAGACTTTTGACAGGCTGGGGTTTTTTGCAAATAAAAGGAAATACAATAGATGTTTATAAAAGTATGCAGTTGGGAGGAGGTAAATAGAGAAAACATCCTTTCCCTCCTAATTCTGGAACACAGATTTAGGACAGGCAACATGTCCCTTCATACTACACATAATTAAATTATAGAATTCACAAGATGTGACAACCACCACACACCCTCCAAAGAGGGAATTAGACAAATTGATAGAGAAAAAGGCAACCAAGTCTGTTAGTTTGATGCCTACATGCTTCCTCCAGGCAAAGAGGAACCCTGCCACTGATTTAAAGTAGCATGAGAACAGCCATGGAAGAGGACCATTGCCTTCATGTCCTGCCTGTGGCCTTCCTGTAGGCATCTGACTAACTTAGATGAGGAACAGGATGCTGGATTGAAAAACATTGAAAAACACAGAAAACAGAGCGAGTCAGAAGGGGCCTCCCAGGCCATGGACCTTTGCTCTGATCAAGCTCCTCTGTTCATGGTGGAGGACAGCAAGGTTACCCAGAGTAAGCAAATCAACAGAAGTCTCCACCACCTCTATGTTCTTTTCTTGGGACTCCACCCCTTTGTGAGTCAAATGGTGAGTAAAGGCAACTCAGTGGGAGAATTTGGAAACAACGTTCCTTGTTAGGTCATACTTGTGCTTTGATAGAGGACCCAACCAGACCCAAGAAAAGTAGCAAGAACAGCTTGTGCACTCCCTGGGCAATGCAATGGGGCCAAAATTTTCAGTGAACTATCTACCGTGATCTTAACATCGCTCTCCTGGGCAGTCATGGCAGTTCAGAACTCAGTATATAAGTGGAGCTCTGTCCAAGGAACAGAAGCTGTGCAAGAGTTGTGGATAGCGGGGATCCTTCTGTCTCCCAAACACAGGCAGCAGCTCACCTTCCTATGAAGAATTCCAGTCATAGAGTTTATAACTAAGAGTTTATGACTAACTTCATAGAGGCAAGAAGTTTATCCACAAAGGGACAAGAAGAAAGCTAAGAGCCAAATAGAGATTTTAGAATTTTTTCAGATCTTATTTTGTAGCAGGATAACCAAAGTCCTATCTTAAACACAGGGCTGACCGCTGTTCCTGTGGCACAAACAGCCAGATGCTATTTATCAAAAGGAAAAGGAACAACTACAGTCAACACAGCCACAATCACAAGGAAGGACAGCTTCAGACTGTCTTTTATTCCCTGGCTGGTTGGAAAAAAGAGCCTTTGTGATGTTTAGAGTAGACACATGGAAATCAATGGGAGTGGTTATTCACAGTTATTGAAGGTCCCATAGCTTTTAAAGGCTCTTTTCCTGGAGCAGAGAACCTCAGCCTAGGACTAAATCTGGCCTGCCTAAGGTCCCAGTCCATCCTTCCAGGGGTTCCAAAACGGCCATGCTCCTTCTCCTGCCCTACCCCTTCCCCCAAACCACTTATCCTCTGTAGTTTACTGCAGCTCTTTCTCCCTTCTAAATGGCTGAAAGGCTGTTCCTAATGCTTAATTATTGGCAGTTAATTGTGTTATGCTATGCTAGTATTTTGGTCCTACCCATATTGCTTTTCACCCCACCTACCTCAGGCATACAACACTTGAGAGCATTTCTCAAAGTGAATTTGGCTCCCAAGCTGAAACAGTGGCCACAGCCTCTGACTAAGTCTTTCCCACCCAGTGGCTCTTCCAAGTAAGCGCGCACAGGATTGCTCTGTAAATGTCATTAAGCATGCCAAAGATTACCATTCTATATGTTAAGTTATAAATATTAGATTTCATGTTACCAAAGCAGTAAAATAAGCTTAGGTCTCAGACATTTATTCTGATTCTTCCCAAAATGTATTTCTTCCTCCCCACCCCTGCTTCAGAATTTCCAGAAATTGTTTATCTCATCATGGTAAAGTGTCTTCTGTTCTATCTTTTTGCAAAGTGGAAATGTATACTTTTTAACTTCTGGCATCCCTTTCAATTATGCAATAGAACTTACGACACTGTTTCCGGTATATCCTCTGCTTTCTTGAAACGGCCTGTCCATATCAAGAATTTCTTGTCCCAGTTAGTTGGCTTGTACCCTGGGACTTGGGAGGAAAAGCCTGTAGAAAGCATAGAAGAAAAATGCAGCACCTGAGAACCAAAGACCTTATTCAAAAGGCAATATTGGTATTGTGATCTCTTGCAACACAACCAATTAGTTCACTATAATTGCTGTATTTACTGTTCTTCGGATAGGGAAGCAAGCAAAATGCTTTATACAATGTGACATGTCTGAATGATCAGAGAAAGCCTGCCCAAACAAGAACAGGAGCTCGCTCGATCTATCTATCTATATTGTTAATTTGTTTTATATTTTTAGTGTTTTATATTTTAATTGATGTTTTGTGAGCCACAAATGGGGCAGCATAGAAATTTTCTAAATAAATAAATAAATAAATATTTAAAGTTTTTATATGCCGTCCCCATTGCTACACAGCCTCGGGACGGCTCAATGCATCTGTGGCAAATGGCCTGGGATCCAGACTGCAAACTGGAAGGCTTCCCTAATTAGTATCTTCTAACTTTCTTAGACTAAATTATCTGGAAGATGACCTGGAAAATGTCATATTAAAAGAGAGTCAAACAAGCAAGTACAGGCAACACAAGCAGCAGCAGTAAGCTAAAATATAGCTACCCATAAAACTACTCTACCACACAACTGGAAAAACAAGTGAAGGTAGTAAAAGAAAGATCAGAAAAATACACTAAAAATTCCCCCAGCAATACTGATCTGAGTAACAGTCTACTTGTCCTGTTTTGAGACTCTGTCAGACAGATTCCAGCTTGCTTTGGACAAGAAAGGATACCCTTTCAGAAATCATCAGGTCTGACAGAGCAAAAGAGTTCCCATGACATTAAACAGACATTACTGACATTATTAAAACCTTTCATGTTATTTAAACACAAGAATGCATTTTTCCTGTGATAATGACAGCTGAGAAGAGTACAGTTCCATAGGTGGTCTGGTAGGAAACAATTTTCATCATTGTGGCCTGAGCAGTTTCTACCTATCTTACCACACCACTCAGCCCCAGAAATCTTCAAAAAAGAAAGGGGTGGGAAAGTGATTCAGGTTGCCATCAGGGGATCGGGGTGGCGGTACCAATCCAAGGTGAGAGAAGGGTAGTTGGTTAAGACTACCTAGTCCCTTTTGATTTGCATTGTCATTTTGGTTGTAAGCTGGTTGTAAGCTGGAATGCACAGACCATCATTTTATCAATTTTTTTTGTGTTTTTTTTTTTTTGCCATAGAAGGCACCCGGCACCTTTTTTTCAATGGATTTTGAACAGCATAGCAGATCAGCAGCAAACATCATTAACATAGTGCCTGCAGGCTGCTCTTGTGTCTGCTATCTGCTAGTGAGAAATAGCTGCTTGGGACACCGCTGGCTGCTGGCTTGGGATTGGTGTGTGAGAGTTCTGGCACCTTTTTTTTTTTCTTTTAACAAAAAAAGTGCTGTATGTGTAATAAACAAATAAAATCAAGTCACTAACTGAGCTTGATAGCTGTGTGTGAATTATAATCCAGGTCTCCCCAGGCAAAATATAACAGTTGTCTGATTAATTTCATGCCTAATGGAATTTGCATTTCCCCATTTCTGTTTATCCCCAATTATGTCTACATTTATCCAGATAAGCACACATTCTAGATAAGCAGTTTCTAGATAAGCTATATAGCCACCCTGGGCTTAAAAGTTGTCTCAGAGCTCCAACTGTGTCAAACTAACAATTGGACACAGCAGGGATCCTAAAACACTGCCAACCTCTTTTCCCCCTTCAGTCTGCAGCCAGTAGCCCAAGGGAACACAAGAGAAGCAAGGATGGAAGCTGTCATCCACTTCTCTACCCCAAAGCTCCAGCCAGCATTGGCAGTAGAGCAAGGAACCTGGAGTGGGTCACCACGACCCACCTTTCAAGCCCAGTGCAAAGTGGTCCATCCCACTGCTTTTGTGCAGCTGTGCAGTGGAAAAGCAACCACCCTCCTCTTAGTAAGCTACTCACTAAAGTATGGGTACTTCTCTGTGCCATTGCTGCACACACTTATGCAATCCTACGCCTGTTTAGACATGGCTGGCAGAGGGATGCTGGGAGTTGTAAGATTCATTTCCGTCTAAAAATGCACAGGATTGCACCCTTCAAATTATGAAGACGCACTTATTCTGGCTTACCTGAAGCCCTGGGATTTGACCTCTGCATACTGACCACCTGAGATCTGCTACAAACATTTCTGTTAATAACCCAATGCGGTCCTTTAGTTACATTCAGGATAGAATAAATATTTTTGTCCAAAATCCGAACAATTTTGCCTGTGGATGGAAGAGAAAAGACGTGCAACATTAATAACATAACATGCAGGAGAAAGCACTTCACGTAGTTGTAAAGTTTTAAATCTACCCCTGCCGGATAATTTAAGTCTGCAGTCTTATTTATACGCCCGGAAAGCAGCAAGGCTGCTCGCAAGCACCCTGCCCCAGGCCATTCTGCAAAACGGTCGCTCCCGGCAGGACGAGCCCGTACTCCAGACCCGACCGGGAGGACAGCACAAACGCTCACCAGCGGCTGTGGTGGGTCCCGACATGGCCCCACCGGGACGTGCTGTTCCCTGCCTCCTCCTCCGCGGCCTCTGCTCTCCTGGCGAGACGCGGCTCACAGCAAGGACGGGCGCGGGCCTAGCAGCTTCACGAGCCCGACCTCTACTCGCTTGCTCGATGGGGAGGAGGAGGAGGAGGAGGAGGAGGCAGGCCCGTGGCGTCAGCGCGTACTCTGACGAGCCTCTCGCCTGCGCGGCCGGCGCGTCCGCTGGAAACGAGGGCCGGCGCCCGGAACTCCATAGCAAGAAACGGGAGCTGCGGAGGCGCGGCCGAGATGGAGCACTGCGAGCGACCAGAAAAGCGAGGCATGGATTCTAAAAGCGAGTGCATGCCTTCCCTGTCTCTCTTGCTGTTTTAACGGTTCATTTTAGGGTTGGTTCTAGTAAGAGAAAGAAGTAAAACTCGGATCCACAAAATAAAAAGTCGATCCTCGTGCTTTCACGTCCAACCACAAAGTACATTTGCCTCCGTGGACTGACTCCTAAAAATCTCAGATCCAGTACTCATCGCCACCATAGCAGAAAAACACAGATCTGAAGCATGAATCCTCCTGCTTTCCTGTTTTTTTTAAAGGAGTCATCCTGTAAAGTACCAAAAAAAAAAAAAAAAAAAAAAGCACACATTTGCCTTCACAAACAGAAGTATAAAAAATATGGGTCTAATACCGTGGCCCAAAAATTGATTTAAGACATGAATTGGTGGCGTGCCCCGAACACTTCCTGCTCTTTTGAGTTCCTAGTAAGTTACGCGTTTTGAGGTTTTAAAAATGTGAAATATACCTGTACGTAGACTAATGAAGCTCAAGGCTTCTGCCTGCAGCTCAGCCGTGAACTGGTTTCCAGGCTGAAAGGAATTTGCGAAAGCGGACTCTTGTAAGAGCAGCTTCTGGTACGCAGGAAATGCGCCGTGCCGCTAGCCGGCTGTATCTCAGGGAATTACACTGCCGCCTCTGGCAAAAGCACCTACCACCCCACCCTCCCCCAATCAACAGCCACCACTCAATAAGGTTTAATTAGCACGGCTCTTTTGAAATGTTTAAATACTTTCTCTTGTTAAAAAATTAAGCGAACCATGACCTGACTTACATAGAGCAAGAATTATTGCCTTTGCTGCCCCCTCTCATTCCGAGAACAGGCCAGTGACGACTATATTAAAATTCTTAATTAATTGTTTTCTGTGGTCTACTATTCTGTACGAATTGGGCCGGACCGGTGGAGGAACCAGGCGTGGACCCACGGAAGGCGGGAGGTACCCCTCCCCCCGTAATAGGCAATTACATTTTTTACAGCTGCTGTGTGTACAAATTGCCTGAGAAGGGGGCGACTGTCTCCCCTGAATCCAGGCCTGGGAGGAATTCAGTGGAATGAGCTACAGATAAGTGAATCGTCGCAGCAACGTTTTTCTGTCTCTTTGGTTAACTTCAACACTGAACTCGAGAGAGCTGAGAAAAGAATGCATCTTTGACGACTCCAGCGGCGAGAGCCCCGTCAAATCCCTTGCTAGCTTCGCGCCCGCATTGTCCAACGCATGCGCAGCGCCGCCTGGAGGGCTCACACTCCCCCGCGAAATCCCGGAGTGGGAGGAGCTGCTGTACTGTCACGCCTTCTGATTGGCTGCCGCTGAGACTCGCCAATATGGCGGCGCCCAACTCGTATCTGAACTGTGAGGACTTCGCTGAATTTCAGGTACGCGGGACCACAGTGGGATTGTCCGTTGCTCTGGCAGTCATTTGTCAGAGCTGCCATTGTATCTGTTTCCAGGCTGGACGCTGTGGAGTGGAAGGACTCGCTCACTTGCCAGCCTGGAGCGGTGCCGCCACGTTCCTGGGGAGTCATTTTCTCCCTGGTTCTCGCCGTAGCGTGGAAGAAGGTGATTATGAAGGGCAGGAGCAGTGCTCGCCGGCTGCACCCGACTGTCCACACGCAGGGGAGAAGGAGAGTTGTATGTCGGAGGCTGGGTCTGAGCCGCTTGAGGGAGATCCAGGATGACAATATGTCGCTAGTGTAAAAATGGCTTTATAGTATGTCCAAAGCACTTCAGAAGCAGCATTTTGTAATTTTTACAACAGTCTCGTAAAGTGGATCGGGGGCGGTTGAGGGAGTGTGGTTTGCCTGAGGTCACCCTGGGAGTTCATGGCAGAGATAATGAACCGCTGGCTTCCTGATCCACACTTAAGGATGCAATCTTGTTCATCGGTAGGCAGGGAAAAAAATGCCCCACGACTCCCAGCGTTCACCAGCCATGTCGACTGAGGAAGGCTGGGAATTGTAGGACATTCCTTAGTCTCTTAGGTGCCATTCCTCCAGCACTTGTTACATTTTTCAAAGGCAATGTAAAGGATGTGACCTTACAGAAAGTTATATTGTGAAAGAATAAGATATGCTCTAAGATAATTCTAAATAACTATTGGAAAATTAGGGTAGAAAACCCTTTAATTTTTCTACTAATTATAATAATTCATATAGGTAAATTCAGGGGTAATGCTTTTACATTTATTTAGCGTATCCCTCCAACCAAACAGATTTTCACAGCTGCTTACAAATCAATCAAAAAATTCTTGCTGTCAAGCATACAATCTAAAAGAGAAAACACAAAGGACAGAGATGGGAGAGAAAGGAAACTCCTGTTTAAGGAAGAATGAATTTTCTTCCTGCCTGTGGAGTCCAGGTGGAATGTGCATGTACCTGCACAATCACATCCATGAAGGACTGGCCAATAGACTCATGTTTTTTTTAACAGAGGAGGAGGAATTTGGTACTGCCTAATTATACTGGTATAAACTGTTCATTTTTTCTGGTATAGCCAAGAACAGGATAAACCTCCATTTATTTGTTTATCTATTGTTATCAGTGCTCATCATGGTTTACAAAGTCTAAGACAACAAGTCACTGTCTCAAGGAAGGTAGAAAAGAGGAAGGGAAATGAAGGCAACCTTTATCTGGGAATAAATATATTATACATAGTTATGCTGAATTACAGTAACACTTGGACATTGTGCTAAAAGCTTATAGAAACAAGGGGATTGAGGAAGGATATGAAGGTGGTAAGAGCATCACAGATGTTGGGAGGCAGCTTCAAACACAAGAGGCTACAAAGGAGAAAGTGTAGAATCATTTGAAAGATGACAGTGGGACTGCTGAGAGTGGTGGGTTGAAGAAGTTATGGTGTGGACTGGGATGTGTTATATATTCCATTTGCAAGGGAGGCAACTGCAGACTTGGAGGAAACCCCAAGGTCTGCAGAAATATCAAAACAAAAAACCCTAATGGGGGTCTAAACTACCCCATAAAAACTCAATTGCACAGAATATTGAGAGATTAATAGAGGAAAGGGACAACTTTGGGGATGGAAGTGAAAGACTGGAGAGGGAGAACATATAAAAAGTGGGATAAAAGTATTCTTTTTTATCCTTAAAAAGGGGGGCATCATGCCCTGATTCACACTGAAAAACTATTTTAATATTCCCAGGTACAAAAATTAGTTTTATCCAAAATCAGAAACATTTTAATATCAGACACAAGTATGTCCACACATTCCCTCTGAAACCCCGCCCAAAAGAATAGCAAACAGAAAAATCAATGTACTTTTAAATTCAGTTTTTATTTAGCATGAAACATTTTTTGAAACTGTGTTAATGCACATTTCAAAGCACATGTGGTTTTTTAAAAAATCTGTCAAATCCAAGTGGCTTCAGAAATGTTAGGCATTGGTCTTTTTATTACATCATTAAGAAATCTTTTTGGTGACTGAAGCCTGGATAGCAATATATAAAACATGTTGAACATTTTATTTACAGCATTTTTATCCCACTCATCAATCAAAACTGACTGCCAGGGAGAATTACAAAGGTTAATTATAAGAGAAAGTACTGGGAGAGAGGTGTTGCAGAAACAATTTTCAGGCACTAGTTGTTAGTTCCTGAGTTATTCTGGGTGTTCTTCCTGGCAGGGAAGTATGAAACGAGCTCCTGCACCTGTTCCTTCTCTAGCCATTGTGTGGGGCTAGGTAGGACTCCCTTGCCGTGGTCTTTCTGTAAGAAAGTGTCATGGTGGCCCTTGATTCCCCGATTTCTTCCAGGCATTCATATCTTTGCAGCTCTGGTCATTCTCCTTAGCGACTTTTCATAGAACTCACCTTCTGGATCAGACGTATGATTTAGAAGTAGAGGACACAGTAATATGGTGGCCTCACTCCTGTCTTCACAGTTCTAGAGAGTGATGATGAGGGACTTCCGCTTGGCACTTGCACTGTGGGATCTTGCAGGAGTTCATTCCACTTCTATCCTGTTAGCTACCTAAATGAAGCTGCTGAGTGAGGTCTTTTCAGAACTTAAAGTGGAATATCACACATCTTGAGGACACTCACCTCTGTTTCCCCTTGGCAGGGGAAATTATCAAAGTGCCAAATTGGTGTCTGAACTAAGGAGGTAGACATAACACTTATGTTCAGCCTCCATCCTACTGAGGGCCTTGTACTCCTGAAAAGGCCTTTGGTGCTGAGCTCATCCTACCACCTACTTTCCCTTACTTGTGAGCATTTCTTGATTAAGACAGCTGCTTCCTGTTGAGTTATAGACAGGTGCATGTAATTTCGAGCCTTTGATGCATTTTGTCTGGTAAAACAAATCAAAGTCATTCCCTTTAAGGGTCCTCATACAAACCTTATCTAATTAGGTACTTGGTATCTTTGTGTTGATGGAAGAGCACCCTGCACCTTCCTTGGTCAGGGAGAATAGATGAGGAAGTCTAGCTTTTGTAAATGGGATGTTGAGAATTTAGGTTGCCTCCCTAAAAAAGTCCTAGTTACCTCATGTTTGATGTTTTATTTTGTGATTGCTTTGTTTCCTTTCCTTTCCTTTTTAGCCTTGCCTAGTTTGGTTATAATAATTTTTGATATTTAATTTAGAATTTGGGTGATGAATTAAGATCAAACTCAAGGGTGATATTTATTATCTCAACCCATTCCAGTCTGTGCTCTGGCCTGGTTTTAGTTGTTTAGGCCTGGTTTAAAGAACAGCTTTAGTTGCTCTGAAGAATGACTTATTGTAGGGGAAAGACAGAGGAAGCAGAATTCCATAAGAAAAGCTATGCTGCATCAGACCCATCCACTCCAGTAGTCCATTCACATTGTGGCAAACCAGTTGTCCACAGAATCCTTCAAGCGGGATGGATACAAGAATGTCA